GTTCATTATACTGATGGGGTCTGATGGGATGCGTAAGCATACCTTTCTTGGGCACCTCGCAATTTCCCTCTGAGGTGTGGTCCTCCAAAGATGATCCTTACACTGTAAATACCCTTGCAACCACAACGCTTCTTGCCCAGTTCCTTCTGATTTTTCTCCCGTATGGGGGCAGAGTCATCAATATACTCTTTGAAGTGCTCTTAATGAGGTCTATAATTGCTTGCTTAAAGGCCCGACACTCGTCGGTGTGATGCCCATTGTCCCAATGATACCGACAGTATTTTTTACTGTTTCTGACTGAAGGGGGATTTTTCATGGGCTCGAGTTCCCCGAGTAGGCCGGCCTCTTCTGACTTACAAGAATAGCAGATACTGAGGCATTCAAAGAAGTGCACTGACTCTTGTTGCGATTGCGATGAGGAACTAAGGCATAGGATTTCTTAGACTCCTATCGTTGCTTCTTTCCTTTTCACTGATCGTCATTGGCCCATCTATGATCAACCCTCATATTTCCCCCCAACCAGGTTCGCTGGCTGAAGGGTCGAGGTCGCGATGGTTGAGCGTCGCCATGGAGTTCTCAATATGAAGGTATTTTTTTGTAAGGCTGTAAAAGCGAGTGAGGAAAACATCATCCTCGGATTGCATCTCTGTCCACAGATCTGTCTGCGGATGAACTCCTACGATGATGAGAGTCCAAACGAATTCTTTGGGAGTATGAGCTACTTTATGAAGCTCCCTGTGGAACCTGTCGATATAAGATTGGAGGGACTCGTCCCTGTCTTGCCTTATGTTACTGAGGTAGCTCAGAGGCATTGAGAACTTCCTGTTCGCTTGGAAGTGTCTCAGGAATATCGAGCTCATCTGAGGCCACGAGCTGACTGATCCTGCTTGGAGCGACCTGAACCATCGCTTGGCATGTAAAGTAAGGGTTACTGCCAAGCAAAGGCATTTTGCCAAGTTGAAAACTTGGTGGAGTTCCATCAGGTCGTTGAACTCATACAGATGATCCTACGGATCAGTATTTCCATCCAATGCTCGCATATCGGGCATTCTGAATCTTGATAGGAGGGGGCGGCTAACACTGCTGGAGAAAAGGGATATGCCTCTGTGACTTGCCCTTGCTCATTTCACTGGGCCTTTAGCTGATCCAAAGCTTGTTGCAGCTCCTCAATCTGAGGTAGCGAAGCCACCTGGGGACCACTTTCTGCAACTTGGGTTCGACCCTCACGGTTACGATTAAGGAAAGACCGTAGGTCGGATTCCTCCTCTCCTCGGCCGGCAGTTCCGACCAATCTCGACACACGCTATCTAGAGTCGTGTGATGGTGCTACATGGTTTAGGGAACCTTCCCGACCTTCGCGGTGGTACGAACCAACCCGCGGACAGTGGGAACTTCCTGCACGACAATCAAAGTCGTCATTTTGGAGATAATGGGAATCTCCCTGCCCTGCACTTTTGTGGAAGTGTTTGCGCGACGTGGCACGGGACGGCTTAGGTCGCAACATGTCACTAAGCCTTAACGCCACGAGTATTCTACCCGGGGTGCAGTCAGTGTTGGTTGGCCCATCGGAGCCTCTAGGCCCGGTGCGCCACTTGCTTTCCCTTTCCTTGACGCACTGTAGCGGGCGCGGCATGGGCTATTGCCCTTTTCTGCGCTTTCATGCGTTTTTGGTGATGGCATCGCCTCATTTGATTCGGGTGGCACGACCCGATCCAACCGGTCCAACCTTTGGTTGACCGTTTAGAGAGTACTGTTAAACCTCTCCAGGTAACTCATGACAGTTGGGTCAAGCCGTGAGCTTGAAGGGATATCCCCCACGGTATTTTGTGGGACTGAGGGCACCTCAGGACAAGTGTCCTCTTGTACCTGGGGGATCTCCTCATCACCATGACTGTTGCGCTCAGATTCGAATTGGCGAGCCATTTGTTGCCGTGGGACCGATTATTCAGAGATTCTCCTAATGAAGAACAAGTACTAAATCAGGCCCTCCTTCTAGCACCAAACTGTTGATGCTCGATTTTGACACCAACTAATCGCACGTGAGAAATACTGAGCTGACTCACAAGACACACATGTACATAAGGATATAGGATTGAGTAAGAGATGAAGAATAATGTTTAAAGTGGTTCGGATGCTTAAATAAGCGAATCCTATATCACTGATATTGTATTAATATATAAGATAGGTCGCGTTCAACGAGCTGATTTGCAGCTTTTAGGATACAAGTGAATACAAGAGAGAGAGAGAAAATATGTTATTCCAGAGTGAAATTAGCTAATCGCACAAACGAGAGGAGAGCACTCTATTTATTAGGGGTGTTCAAAAGAACCGGTCGGAACCGGAACCGGGGGGTACCCTGGGTTTGGTTCCGGTTCCGGTTCCTACCCAGAACCAATCGTCAATGGGTAGGTTCCGGTTCCGATTCCTATAGTTAGGAACTGGAACCGGAACCAGGAACCAGGAACCGAGACTAATATAAAATAAAATTAAATATTAGGGGGATTAATAAAAACTTTTGTAGAAAAAATAATGTAAATACATTTACATTTATATTTCATAAAATTTAAAGTAAGTTGGTTTGACTTTTGAGAATCTACCTTTACAACGTAATGGAGTTTGTAATTTTGAATTTATAATTTGTAATTTTATTTTTGTTAACAAGTGCCAGGTAGGGGGGTATTTGTAAGTTTTTAAGGGGTTTTTTGTCATTTTAAAAACTTTTAGGGGGTCATGAATTTTACAGGGTACCCAGAACCAGAACCGGAACCGGAACTGGAACCGTTGTTACAGGTTCTGGTTCCAAATTTCAAGGAACCGTCGGTTCCAGTTCCGATTCTGGTTCCTTCAAAAAGTGCAGGGTATCCGGAACTGAACACCCCTACTATTTATAGTGGGATGAATTAATTAAGGCAATAATTACTGAATCCATAAAAGGGGGGCAGATACCGTGCAAATCCTTCTTTGAGTCCCGTTGCTCACCTGCTCGAGTGATTTCCTTGGTTTTTACAAGGATTGGACACGTGGACTGTTTTCAGCCTTTCGCCAATCTGGCGCACACCCATTGCACTGGCAGGAGCTTGCCGCTCACGTCAACATGCGATATGGCTACATCTGAATGGTTGGAGAACCTACCTAAGCCCTGACTGCTCATGCTGACAAAGCTCGACGTCAGCCCTACTTTTTCAGGCATAACACATATCATGTCAACAAACAGACTAATAATCTCTGTGAAAACCCCATAATATTTTGATCACCAAAAAAAAAGAAAAAAAAAAAAAAAGCAAAACAAATGAATCATTAGAAAGGAGAATAATCTCCGTATTCATTATTTGAAAGTGTGATGTAATACAAATGAATAAATGAATATAGTAATGACTAATGAAAGAGTCTGGTGTATAGTTAGTTATATACAGGTGCATGTCATCTGATCTCTCAAACTAGGGTGGTAGAAGTTGAAGTTTCAGGGTCCATCATAGCAGGAAGCAAATACTTTTTTCCATTGATACCATTGGCATTGTAGCTCGCACCAGTTTTAGAGTCGACGAGCAAGGTTCCAGCAAATCCAGGGTAAGCCCCTTTTCCGAAAACTCCAGGACAAGCGGTGGATGCCTCCAGGGGTGCTTCTTGGGGCCCCTGGAAGAAGCCGTTTCCAAAAGGGTTGGTAACAGTCCCAGCCAAAAGGCTAGCCACGTTGATCACCATACCTTCAAGACCAATATCACTGTTGGGTGCGTTTAAGGGGGAAGTCCTTGGTCCATTTATTGACTCGTGGAATGGCCATGCGCATAGACCTGACACTGAATCTCTGAATTTCCAACCCAAATGTAATTAAATTTACTGTAGGTGTTGCCATGCATGGGTCCTGTACCCAAGGCATGAGTACCACATCGACCCTGGCAAAACCCTTCAACAGTTACATCTGCTGATGTCAAAAGCACATTGATCAGATTGTCTTCCCCACCCTTTTTGGCCAACTCGTAATGCTGGGCGCTAGTGAGCGATTTCCCTAGAGAGTAATTCTCATCAAGGACTTCTTTACTCAGTGAAAGAACAAGTGAATCAGGAATTGTGGTAACCTGGTAGAATTTAGCCGTCAAATTCATCCATGACGCAACAGAGGGCTGCTCCGCTGTGGGTTTTGAAAGAGAGGCAATGAAGTCTAAGACAATTGCACGCTGAGCGGGACTGAACTGTCCATACCAAATCAGATTAACGGGGATATTCCCGGAAAATAGAGGACCACCATGGTACAGAAACAATTCTTTTACTGGTTCCGCTTTCAAGTTAAACTGAAGTGAAGTTGTATGATCCCACAAGTTGAAGATGAATACGGGGGTGATATAAATAGCTGTCAAAGACAAAGTTCCTAGGAAACAAGTGCCTGCAAGACCACGCGTTGGTTTTGTTAATTGATGGTGCGCCGCTATTCTCGCTTTCAAACGAATATATGTCATAAACAATTAAACATCACCGTGTATTGCCAATCAAGGGGAGAATAGGACAACGAGAAGCCAAAAATGGTGAAAGACAGGGAACATTTTTAGTGCCATCAAATTGGAGCACATTCGATGTTGCAAAAACGCGTCTATGACTATGAATGTATTGAGGATGCAAAAGATTTCAATTTTCTTTTTCTTTTTTCAAATATATATAATGTGAATATGAACAGTGAAAGAGAACATGGAAGACATGACATGTTAACTATAATGCATATTGTGAAGCAGGTTGTAAGTACATAACATGGGCTATATTTGAATTTGGTGATTGTAAGTACATCAAATTGTTTATAGTCATCATTTGACAAGTGACAGTTATTCCAATTGGGTCCATCTTGTTGGGGATGAAGGTTTCTTCTGCTAGATCGGTCTGTCCGAAGTATGGGCATATCTTATTGTAAGCCGGCCCTAGCTCAAGAACTGTCCATCAATTAGTGGGCCATTAGTTGTAGCACTAAATCAATTATGGAATGAAATTGCAAATCGTTGACACAAATTCTCGTCTGAAAAAAGCAAACCAGAGCAATTTGCTCTTCTATTATTAATCCGCAATTGCATAACAAATAAATGACAAATCAAAGAATTACACTATCTCCAGCTATATTATTAAGTATTATACATTCTACTAATAATCTACTAGACTATTCCCTTCTTAGACCAAGGTTGAGCAAGACGATGTAGAAGGATCATACAGAGCAGGAACCAAGTACTTCCTTCCATTAGCACCATTTGCATTGTAGCTAGCACCAGTTGTAGGGTCCACCAACAAGTTACCTGCATAACCAGGATAAGCCCCTTTGCCATAAACACCAGGACAAGCTGATGCAGCTTCTAGTGGTGCCTCTTTTGGACCCTGAAAATAGCCATTTCCAAATGGGTTCGTGGCGGTTCCCGCTAAAAGACCAGCCAAGTTGATCACCATTCCATCAAGACCCACGTCATTGTTTGGTGCAACCAAAGGTGGGCTCTGTGGGCCGTAAATGGGTTGGTGGAATGGCCATGCACATTGACCTGGGCACTGAGTCTCGGAGTTACCAACCCAGATGTAAGCGAACTTGTAGTTCTTGCCCTTAACTTGGCCACTCTTGGATGCCGGAGCAGACCCATGAGTCCCACATCGACTCATACAAAATCCATCAACGGTTACATCAGAAGATGTTAATACAACGTTTATGGCATCTTTTTGCTCACCCTTTGAGGCCAAAGCTACGATATGTTTGTTTGAGAGCGATTTTCCAAGCGAGTACTTGTCATCAACGATTTGTTTTCCGAGAGAGAGGGAAAGACTGTTTTTTTTGGAGCTTAGGTGGTAGTATTTCTCAGTGGTTTTCCACCACGAGGTTACTGAAGGCTGATTGGTTTTTGCTGGTGAAGAAGAAGACAGTGAGGTGATGAAATCTGAGATGATGGCTTTCTGTGAAGGCTTGAATTTGCCATACCAAATAAGATTAATGGAAATTTTTCCAGAGAGAAGAGGGCCATTGTGGTATTGCAAGAGTTGAGACCCTTGATCTTTTACAAGCTCATTAAGAGTTCTTGCAGCAAAAGAGATTTGAAATAGAGAGATCAGAAGGACTAGTTTGAAAACAAAAGAAGCCATTTTTTTGAAGAGAAAAAGGCTAAAGATTTTAGAAAGCTTAATAGCAGAAGAAGTTGAGAAAGATTTGTGTTTTGTGTGTTGAAGTGAAGAGAAATGAGCAGTATATATATAGATGGATGAAATGAGTTTAATTTATTGTTTAACGTGCTTTTCTATAAAAGAAAGTGGGTTTAGGCGAATTCAAGGAACCTGCCAGGAAAGAGACAATAAAGTGAGTGTATGTGAGATGGGTTAGCCATTTGCGCGGCCCGACTTAGCCAGTAAGATAAAGAAGACCCAACGGTACATGCAAACGCGTTCTTATGCCCATTTGCTTATTGCCAGCTATCTCACTTCACACTTCCCACATACACTCAATAACCATACCAAATCTTAGGAATTCCGTTACCCTCACCAGAACTGTAACAAATGTAGGAGCCTCAGATTGCAACTATAGAGCAGTTATTGAACCTCCAATTCGGCATTAAGGTATCAGTAACACCTCAAGTCTTGTACTTCAAGACTACGGCAAAGAAGATCTCTTACCAGGTTACCGTCTCCACATCCCACAAGGTGAACACAGGATTCTATTTTGGCAGCCTTACTTGGACTGACGGAGTTCATGCTGTGAGAATTCCATTATCCGTTAGAACAGAAATCCTGGAACCTTATGACGATAATTAACTAGGAAGTAGGTATGCAAGAGATCATGTTTCAGTTAATTTCTTCCCTGTTTTTGTTTGTAATTCAGTAGAGGTCCATGTATTATGTAACAGGAGTTAGTCCTGTATTGTAAGTCATGTCATCTGTACGAGAAAATGATTTGCAATTTATGCATGAAAATAATAAATATATAATTTCTTTCGTTCTCACACAACTAGTCAAAATACAATGATAATATCTTCGACTGTGAGGATGTGGTTTCTATACATGAGAATTCAAGGCCAAAAACTCTATTGGCAAAATCAACTTGCCATGACCAGAAAGACCAATATAATTCTCTCCTCAGAATGTCCAGCAGCGCTTGGTGAAAGATCGGGAAGAACCAATTGAACCAAGGACAGATATACCACAACAATAACCCATTTGCTCATCCTTTTCTCTCCTGATTCCTCCCTTCAATAGGTATTTAGTTAAATTTGGCCATTCAAAACAGGAAGGAGAAAAATAAGCAATCAAGCCAGGAAATCTATCACATGTCCATCAGATGGTCATCATTAAATCCTGGGGGAGACAATGGTGGAACAGCTGCTTCATAAGACTCGACTTCAATATCCAATACCTTCCGAACAGTTGCCTGGTACTCTTTGCTTCTACCAACCTTTCTCGAGGGGTCCGATTCAGAGGCAACAGCTCTTGATGAGTTACTACTATCAATGGATTTCAAAAACTTGTCCTTTGAAATGGTTGTCTGGGCAGATTTAATAACAGAGGTGAAGACACCTGACTCCCTCAAACCTTGTATTATGGCCTGACATGTACAATGGAAAAGAATATTGATAAAAAATTAACAAAAAATGGGATCCGAGAGAGTTTTGGATTGTTGGTACTACACAAAAATAAGCAATTCTTTTTCTTCCAAAACAAATCCCAAGAGAAATGCAAAAGGTTCTCTGACTATTAAAGTAGTAACCGCATATGCAGATTTCGGACATTGGCCAATGTATGGTCAATTGATGAATATGACCAGTCAATTCACTAACTGTAGTTTTAACCCTTCTTTTTTTTTTTTTTTTTTTCACTCTTATTCTGTCAAGTATTATTTAAAAGATATCATTGTCATGCTTACCATGGGAGCATATACACGAGTTAGAATTCCCTTCCTAAGGAGTTTCAACTTCAGGTCCTTGTCACCCCACACAACATGCTCATGGTACCTAAAACAAAAACAGCCAAATCTTTATTGATTAATCAAACAGAACATGTAGCAATTGTATGCATGAACTCATTGAAACAAAACATGTAGCAATTGGGACAAAATTAGTTTTAGCATTCAAGTATTTACCAATTTATCATTTCCTCCTCAGTTGCAGTTGAAGCAATTATAAATGCCTGCAAGGGATAACATTAACTTAAAACAGCAAATGAGTTATCAAAAGGAACTAAAATTGAGAACAAACTTAACAATTGACAAACTATAACCCCAAAATTCTTCATTCATTTCAGCAACAAAAGAGGAATGGCCGCACAAACTTAATTTTAGGACTTGGTAAAAAAGAAACACATAAAATGCTGAAATAATCAAGAAACAAAAAGGACAACACTGAACTCACAGATCTATCAAATTCCAACATAAAGCATCTTTTGACATCCTCCTTTGTAGGCTTGCAGCCACACCTATCACGTCTGGATGTCAGGTCAGAAAATTTGGCGTACGTATAGTGTAGAACAGCAGCCTCCTCCAATTTAATCTCACTGAAAAGAACAGTATTGCACAATTATTGCTGTGAAGAAGTCATTCAGAAGAACAATTGTATTTTTGCTACCATTACAATTAAACAACAGCAAAACAAATAGCACAATAAGGATTACAATGGCACATAATCACATTAATGTACAGTTTTAATCCTTTGGAAGTGGAGGAGAGGGAGAGGAGTGAAATAAACAACTTGTATTTGCTAAATTTGAGAATAATATACTGTTGCTCCATAAAATTGCTATCTTCTTCAATGAATATATATACAAATCTCTCCCCCCCAACAATACCTACTAACATCTGCTCATGTGTGACATTGTAAAAAGCAATCATATGCATATGCATGTGTAATGATGTATGCCTTACTAGATTAACATATCAAATTACATACTTTGGGGTTTTCATATAATTGTGCCACCTATGTGCACCGTTAGGACGAAGATGATCACGAATTCGAGCAACTGATTTTCCGTTTCCATAAGTCAGGAAGTAGTTTGGGTTTCCCCGAGTAGCTTCTTTATACATGCCAAAGTATGTATCCTTTAGAAGATGGTCATAGTTCCTCTTGAACATTGATACCTGTTCACAAAGATACAGGAATATGAAACATACCAAACATATTATAAAATAAGTCAATCATCAAGGACAAGCAAATATGATGCTATAGAAATGGATTTTTGCTTTGCAATGAAAGTGATCTCCCAGAACATTTAGCGGTATCCAAGAATAATTTACCACCACTGTTTCATTAAAACATGAGAAATTTCCCATAATATAATCTCTGTCATTTACTGAATTAATGAGCTCAACTTCCAACCCAAAATTTATTACACTGACTAGTCCAATTGGTTGAACACATGTTAACTAATACAAGATAAACAACACATATAATACAGTTCCAAGGTATATATTTCTGTCAAAGGTTAACTCAAACTTCAAAAGCTCAATCTGTTAAACCAAGACAAAAGCATGGACATTGAAAAAATAAAGGAGAAAAACCTCGCTGAAAGGATCAGTGATGTCGTCTCGTTCAACACTGCTCTCCTGCAGGAAAAAAATATATATCATCATCTATATGTCAAGCCATATCATAGAAAGAACATAATGATTAATTTGTCATTGTTGTAAATTCGTGATTGATATTATCACTAGCAAAGCATTTTAATAGTATAAATAATTCCACTCACATAATTTGGAAATATAACCATATCCACATTTCCAGGCACATCAAGAAGCAATTGCCTCAAAGAATACTCACGAGCACCAGCTGGATGTATTAATTCGTCCGTGTCAAGATGAAGTATCCAATCCATGCCAGCATCCTAATATTTTCATTAAGTAACAGAAAATGTATATCAGATTAAAATCAGTACTCATCCAGCAATAACTAATGACAATGGTTCACAAAGCATACCCTTGCCATAACAATAGCCATTTCCATATTGAGAGATTGCTTCACAAACAGCTCATAATTGCAGGGTTTGTAAAAGAAACTTGATAGCCATGTCTCATTCCAGATACGGCTGATGATCCCAAAAGAAAACAGAATTAGTATGTGAAACAAAATATCTCAAAAAGAGGCAAGATATAAGTCAAGTCCAAAAGGTTCCAAGTAAAAAGTTGCTTGAGCTAAACACGGATAAACTGTGAACAGTCTAGACTGGCTTAAAAACAAATAAGGGATATACAGAATCTACAACAGTAAAGATGGCAAATTCAACCAACCTTCTAGCCTGTTGCTCCTCTAGCTCTTTTGTTCTGTAAATCACTTTCACTCCCTGAGAAAGAAATGCAATTTTTAACAGCCACAAAAATTAAAGAAAAACAAACAGCGTAATGCAAATCAAAGTGGACCTTACCTATGAAAAGGAAATTGTTATTTTTAACTCACTGGAATAGATTCCAGAACTTTAGACACATCAGGAGATGCAGCCTTTCCTTCCACAAAAAGGAAAAAGGTTGTCACTCCAATGACCTTGTGATAGAACATCCATGGCAGAATCTGCTCCAAGCCAGCTGATGTACTTGTTGTAATACATATCTGCATAAAGGCATAAACAATCATCCCATTTATACAAGGCTTGTACAGATAGATTAAATAGTATAGTTCCATTAGCCAGAGTTCATTATAAACAAAAAGTAGGACACCTCATATTAAACCAAAACAATACAACAATTTTAAGGGAAGATTACCCAAAGAACTGTATCTGACTTGACGCAGCAATCAAACTCACAATCGAAGTTTAGTTGGTGTATAGTAATATACATTGGGTATCATCATTAACTTCACTATATGATTTCAATATGGTAGCAAGTAGACAAACGAGCAAAAATATCGATTAAATTAAGAATTTGAGCTCAAATCGGAACTTTTAAGATAACATTGAATCAACATAGGAACCTCCAGTCTCAGTAATCTGGAAATGAATGCAAAGAGCAACAAATCAACTGCCACTAATTAGTTTAAGAATATAATACAAGCTCAACTTCCTCTTTATTTACTCAGATTTCAAGCTAACCAGAAAAGATATTAGTAATTAAACTTTCCTCTCAAACCCCAACATAATACACAGCAACAAAAAGCAAACTTTAACACAGATCAACCCTTAAATCAGGAACTCCCTAAAAACACCAATCAAACATTCAATAAGAGAAATCTCAGCAGCGTCAATCAACAAAAATGCAGAACTTAAATCAGATCAGTATCAGAAAACAACATTTTAACAAAAATAAAAACAAACCACCATAAAAAGAAAGAAAGAAACCCTAACTTCAAAATCCCACAATCGAAAATAGTTAAAAAAGAGCACCTTTGGCTTCAAATCGGAGTCAAAGTCAAACTTCCAGTCTCGGTAATAAGGAAAAGAAGGCGAAGAGCTCCGTATAAGTTTAGTACAATCGGAGCGCGAGAAATGCTGAGCTTTGGGCGACAGAGAAGAGGACTCCATACCAGGAAACACCTCATGGTTTTGGAGGTGGGAGCCATGAGGAGCCCAGCGCGAGACGGTTGAAGTAGCGGTTGCCGGATCAGTAAGGCCGGCGTCGCCTTTCCATTGGAGAAAGAAAGCCAACAAAGCGAGAGAAAGAGGAAGGACAGTGAGAAGTAAAAGTAGCCTCGAAGTGAACGAAGATTGCGAAGAAGAAGAAAGTAAAGGAGTAGCACGGTGGTGCTGCTGGTAATAAGTTGGCATAGTGGTGGTGGAGACTTGAGAGAGAAAGAGATCTCTCAAGCAGTGTTGTGTTCTGTAAAGATCAATAAGATGAACAATACCAAGTGTGGTTGAATTTTGATATGAATTTTAACGGGTTTGTTTGGATGTCAATTTCAGAAGAGATATATATCCATTTGAGAGTGTTGAGAGCCTGAGAGGGAGGGGAGGAAGACGAAGACCAACAACTTTCTTCTTATCTAATTTACTGCTAAACAACTCAGATTTGACAGTTTACCATTTTCATCACCCAATCAAATAAGGTAATTGTTGATAAATACATTTGCACCTATCAGATAATTCGAATCTGGTGCGATTAGAATGGATTTACGCGTTATTACGGATAATCAACGATAATCAAGTATTGAATGCAATAAAGTATGATTACGGATAATCAAAGATAATCAAATAGTGAATACAATAAAGTAAATGACAACGAGAATTTTTAAAATGGTTTAGTGACATAAATTTTTGAGTTTACATTCACTGTTTTTTGTATTTGCTACGAGAGCTTACTTTATTCATTTTTCATTATTTGAGTGGGTTTATATATAAGGTTTATACAAAGGAAAAAGCGAGAATAAAGGGATTACAATTGATTTGAATTACAATTTTGATATTCTGATGATTAGGCGCTGTGATTGCGTAGAGAGTGTTGTTGATTTAGTCATTCTTACAATATCTGAGATCTAAAGTTTTTTGGGAATTGATTGAATGATCATTCAGGTTATTCGCGACTAGCTTGTGCTGGATTGAGTTATATGTTGACGAGTTAATGCTAAGTCAGACAATCAGTAGAATCAGATTGATCTTGGGTCGAACTATATTCTCGTGGTAACCCAAACTTGATGGAAAAATCACACGCAATCAGTAAGTGTTCAATGTTTTTTCTTAACTTTTTTCTATTTATATATTTCTTTTTCTTTTTCTAGCTTGATTACCAAAGATAATATTACTATATTAGATTACTATCCTCCGCTGATACGAGAATCAATGAATTATCAAGTGATTTCGTATGGCTGAAAGAAATTTATAATAAGAGGAAAGAATCATCGTATCAATCTAATAGGTGAATAGATATTGTCCATTTTAGAAGCCCAAACCTTTACGGTTTTATTCTTAAACGTTAAACCTAAACAATAATGCTACGAATACTGGGATTCTACATCAAATTACGTATCTCGTGACTCACACTAGTCATATTTCATGTTCACAAATATTTTACTATTGAACAACCGTTCATCAATTATGGATGGCCGTTTACTTATGATAGACTCTCGTCCATATTATATGGACGAAAGTCTATTTATTATGGATGAGAATCCACATTTAAAGGACGTCCGTTCATCACTAAATGAAAAAACAATGTCCATATTATATGGATAAGAGTCCACATTTAAAAGACACCCGTTCATCACTAAATGAAAAAATAATGTAAACAAAAATAATAGACGACCGTCTATAACCTATGGATAGTCATCCATAAATAAAGGACGGGCGTCCATATATAATAGACGCCCGTCTAATCTTTAAATAATAAAATTTATATAAATAAAATTAAACGGACGAGTGTCCATATGTTAATAGGATCCGTCCATTGTTAATGGTTTTAAAAAATTATAAACAAATTACCACTTCTCCAAAAATTTATATAGGTAATCGACTTCTCCACATCTATAACGTCAGATTCTCTAGATTTTCCATCACTCTTGCCATTGTCATGGTCTTGCTTAGCCGACGAAGAAGAGAGATCCACCTTTTTCTCATCATCTAATACGACGTCATTGTCGTCGTCAGCATCATTCTGAACTAACTTGGCCGCACGCATCAATAGATGTTTCTCCACAATCTTAAGGCTGAGGTCCTCATTCGCCTCTTCATCATCCTTGCTCACCGCCATGACCTCCTTCGACTTTTTTTCCCCTTCATCAGGATCCAATTGCTGTTTTTGTTTTAGTCCCTGCGACATGTTCTCGGACTCAAAATTGTGAAAGAACTGTAATTTGAAGGAGAAAGTGAGGAAGAATCAGTTTGTATTTAAGTCCATAACTCACGTGCATAAACCATGATATTTTTTTTTAGACCATTAATAAGACAGAAGAAAACAAGTGAAGGTGGTGATTTCCCTCACAAAGTGTGTTGATAAATTGGAGAGTAGTTTGTCTGGGGAACCAAATGAGAGAGCTAGTTGACAAGCAAGTGCAGACGTGTTGCGGGGAACAAAAACTGAAGTGAATGCAAATGGGTTGCAGGATCAATAACTGAAGTGAGCGCAAATGGGTTGCAGGAAACCATAACTGAAGTGAATGCAAACCGGTTGTCCATGAATACAAACTGAAGTAAAATCTAGGAAAAGGAGATCTAAGAATCGGAAACTGAGTGAAGGTAGTGACGTGTCGCTCAAGAGTGCTGAGAAATCAGAGAGCACCTTTTCTAATGAACAGAATCAAGCGTACGATAACCAGGCAACTGTAGATGGATTACAATTTTTGGCTGAACGACGCATACCCAAGGTTTATCGAAATGACAAGTTGGTATCTAAGAAGTTTTGAAACGACAAACAGGTATCTTCTGTCTGTTAGTGATTTCTGTTTGTTCATAGTGAAAAGACTAAAATGCCCTTAAAACATTTGATATTTTAGTTTTTTGTAAATTTAAAAATTTCTAAAAAACCCCCTAAATTTGCTAATTTAACTAAACACCCCCATATATAAAAAGTTTGTTAAATGACAAAAACACTCCCACACCTGCAATGCCAGATTCCGGCCACCACTGCCGGAATCTGGCCGAAAAATTGCGTTACGACACAGACCCGTTGGGTCTGTGTCGTAACGTGTCGATCTGGATTTTTTCGGCCAGATCTGGCCAGAAAAGGCCAGATCTACAGCTAGATCTGGCCGTCGTGGCCGCAAAACTCCATTTTGCGGCGTCGACGGCCAGATCTGGCCGTAGATCTAGCCTTTTTCGGCCAGATCGAAGCGTTACGACACAGATCCGACGGGGTCTGTGTCGTAACGCAATTTTCGGCCAGATTCCGGCAGTGGTGGTCAGAATCTAGCACTGCAGGTGTGGGGGTGTTTTTATCATTTAACAAACTTTTTATATATGGGGGTGTTTAGTTAAATTAGCAAACATAGGGGTTTTTTTAGAAATTTATAAAAAACTTAAAAATTCAACCTTTAAGGGCATTTTAGTCTTTTCACTATGAACAAACAGAAATCACTAACAACACATGACGGAAGGTACCTGTTTGTCATTTCAAAACCTTTTGGTACCAACTTGTCGTTTCGGCAAACCTTGGGTATGCACAAATCGTTTGGCCTATAATTTTTTTTCAATTTAACGTCTGGATGGGCGTCCATTATTTATTATTTGTGATGCCTGTCCATTATTCAGAGACTGTCGTCCATAATATATGAACGCACGTCCCTGAATTTTGTTTATAATTTTTTAAAACCAATAATAATGAACGGATATCTATTAACGTTCGTCTATTAATTTTGTTTATATAAATTTTATTATTTAAAGATTGGATGGACATCTATTATATATGGACATCGGTACTTTATTTAGGGACGATCATCTATAACTTAAGAACGACCATCCATTATTTTTGTTTATATTATTTTTTTCCATTTACTGATGAACGGGCGTTCTTTAGATGTGGACTCTCACCTATAATAAATAGACTTTCATTTATATAATATGAATATGAGTCTATCGTGATGAATGACTGTTCACTAACAAAATATTTGTAAACATGAAATGTAGTTGATATGAGTCATGAGATATGTAATTCGGTGTAAGAATTCGGTGAAGAGTTCCGATGTCCGTAACCCCAAAATGCGTCCTGTAAACTTATTAATTCTATTTAAACACTATTTTCTTTTGGGGAAAAAAAAAAAAAAAAAGAAACTGACTTCCTTATCGGACAAGTTTCTATTAATTTAAACAAAATATATAAAAAGCGTTTATTTAATAAGACAGCAGCCAAACAACACCCTAAGCCATTCTCCTTCTTTGATAGGGCTAAACATTAAACAAATCAAAATCCAAACCCTAGAGGGTCACAGACAAACTGAATTTCGGGAGTTTGTCATCTTCCCGTATAAGGGTTTGAAATACAGTCGATGCTTGGAATTAGAGAGCTAATCGAAAGAGGAAGAGGAGAGGGTCTGTTTGTTAAATGCTCTCTCTCTTCTTCAAATATAAAACACTCTTTCTTCTTTTTTTCATGTCTTCAATCAACACTCTTTCTCTCTCTTCTTCTTTGTGTGCTGCACCAGTGTGCTCTCAAACCCTAGCTCGATTCGTTTCTCATCTCTTTTCTATACCTCTCGCGTTTTCTCTCTTTAATCCTTGTCGTTTTAGGTCTCCGGTTTCTAGGGTTTACGTCGCATTTAAAACATGACTGATTCTAAGGTCAGTTTTTTTTTTGTTTTTTTGATTTTTTAATCATTAAATTGGAAAAAAAATATTGGATTTATGTAATTTATTGAATCTTATATGCTTGGATTTATTGCAAACTAGTTTATTTATGAATGAAAGCTCTGAGATGTATTAAGAATAAGAAATTAACCAGCTTTTCTAAAGCTAAAGGAAGAAACAGGAGAAGTTGTAGAATGGGCTGAACATTCTTGAATTGTGAACGAAGTGGTAGTAAGAGTATTGGCTGGTGTTAGGTAAACAATTTCTTTTTGTTAATGGTGAAGGATGCCTGGATTTATGAAGCTCTAGTGTATTCTAACTATCTTGTTTAAGGGTTTATTTGATTTGGATGTTATCTCTGTTTACATAGAATTAGTTTATAGAATGTTGTACTCCTTGTGATTAATCTAGCTTTACTAGGGTAATGTGAAGAATGCTGTTGTTGAATGATCTGGTTGTTGTTGTGTGTGTTGTTCTTCTAAGTTCTGGCAGTTCACCGGGTGTTTTTTGTGTGATGGCAGGTACTACTGTTTGGGTCATTCACTGAGGAAGAGACAAGGTCATGGCAGGTAAAACGATCATCTGAAAGTGCTAAAAAACCTGTTTCGTCAGGGAGAGCTGAAAATCCCGTGGAAGAGAAAGATTTGCTCTTTGGTTCTTTCGATTTGACTGGAAGTTCTTCAGGTGGTTTGAAAGGTGAACCAAGTGGACAGTTAGGTACTGCAGATGGGCCAGTTGTTCTTCAGCCCTCAACTCCTGTTAGGAAGGATGATAAAATAAAGATTGTAACCGCACCAAATAATCAGTTTCCAGGAGCCTTGGAAGGAACTATAGAAAATGGAAACATTAAGAATTCTACTAATGGCACTGCCCTCAGTAATGGTGTTAAAGAATTGAAAACAGACGGTATTGATTTAACCTCGTTAAGCTTATCTCAGAATGAAGGCGGTCATTCATATTCACACCCAAGTTCAAAATTTTGTGTCCTTGATGGTGTAAGTGTAAAGGATGGGTATCAGAATGGGACTGCATATGGTTCATCAATATCCGTGTCAAAACAGGAGGTCTGGAAGACAACTAGTGAGCCTGTTAAAAGTGCTAGAGACTTACTGCCCAGAGGTTTAATCAACTTAGGAAATCTATGCTTTCTTAACGCAACTCTACAGGCTCTGTTGTCCTGTTCCCCTTTTGTTCAGCTCTTGCATGAACTTAGAACTCGTGACATACTGAAGGTTAATTCCTTTTCATGTTCTAAATTTTATTTATCTGATGCTGAAGATGGAGATGCTTTGTTCATGGCTGTATGTGTTGAACATGTCTGTCCTTAATTTTCTTTTGGTCTACTCATCTATTTTATACCTTCTGTATACTTTAAGGTTATGTATTTTTTTTTTGTGTTGTTTTGTTATATGTTTAGTGGATCTTATGATTTTGTGCACAAATCATAAGCAAATCAGCTGATAATAAAATTTATTACATTGTTAATTTTGTTACTAAAATTTGATATAGCTTGAAGCTAAAGCTTTAGTTTTGTTGGATTGTAATTTGTTAGGTTGGATATCCCACTTTAACTGCATTTTTTGAGTTCATCTCTGAATTCGACAAGTCTTCTAGTCCAAGGATTACGAAGAAAGATGTGGCTTACGTTGAAACTGGGAGGCCTTTTAGTCCTGCCATGTTTGAAGCTGTTCTTAAAAATTTTACTCCAGATGTGCCAAGCAGCATATCCGGCAGACCAAGGTTTGTGTTCTTGGGATCTAGTTGATCTTCTCTTCCATTTATCATTAGATATTTCTTTTACTTGGTAACAGTTTAGGCTTGAACTATAAAGTATTGCTTGCTATGCTGTGTGGATCTAAAACTTATTTATATCTTCCTTTTCAATTAGGATGATTCTTTTTTTCTCCTTTTGTATTTCCATTCCTTGATCTTCTGCTGTGCTGCTTTCTGTGTTCTTCACTGTAATCATATTCCTTCTATTCTATCCTCAGAATGCAATTACTGTGGTTGGTAAACTGTATAATGTTACATGTCGGTTGAGTTGACTAAAATCTTGAAGATATGGTGAGGTGGAACTTGAAAATGGGTTTTTACTGGCTAATTACTTGGCATCTGTTGCATCTAGACATTCCTTGCTATTACCTATGAACTGTATTATGATCATGTGGGTGATCTGGAAGTTGGTTTCTGACATGATTATTCTTTTCAGGCAGGAAGACGCTCAGGAGTTTCTAAGTTTTATAATGGATCAAATGCATGATGAATTACTTAAGCTTCAAGGACAGTTTGCTAACACCAATGGAGCCAAGTCATCTCTTGTCTCTTCTGCTGAAGATGATGAATGGGAGACAGTTGGCCCAAAGAACTCATCTGCTGTTACAAGAACACAAAGCTTCGTTCCTTCAGAGCTTAGTGATATTTTTGGAGGACAATTGAAAAGTGTAGTGAAGGCAAAAGGTTCGTTAATTTCTATGGGCTTAAGAAATAGAAATTTTCCTCAAATGGTTTTCCCACTTTTAGCAAATTTTTTTTTCCTGTTTACAAGGACTTAAATAGTGATAAATTGATTACCTTTGCTAGCAAAAGTGAACTCTTTCATATTTATGTTCTTGCAAAAAATTTCCCCTCTGCAGCATATATCCTGTAGTTCCTTCCTTTTTATTTAATTTTTGTGTCTTATCAGGAAATAAAGCCTCTGCTACTGTTCAACCATTTCTCTTGCTCCACCTCGATATTCATCCTGAAGCTGTTTGCACAATTGAGGATGCACTTCATTTATTTTCTGCGCCAGAAAATCTTGAGGGATATCGAACTTCAGTAACTGGGAAGGTAGTTTAGTCTATAAAATTGTTTTTATGATACTGTATGGTATGTTTGCGTTCCTTTTTTGTATGCGTAAGGACCTCTTATCATGTGCATGATGTGTGGTTCACTTCCATACAAGTAGCTCAATTAAATGTTGATTACATTTATTTAGATTTGGTCTCTTAATATGTTTTTTGGATCCAATTGCTACATAAAGCCCTGAGTTTTTCTTAAAGTGTTGCATATCTTTGTTTGCTGGCTATTGATAGATCTTGCTATACATGCATGATATTGACGATTGTTAATCCCAACTTTCAGGCTGGAGTTGTGACTGCCAGAAAATCTGTTAAAATACAGACCCTCTCAAAGATAATGATATTGCACCTGATGCGATTTAGTTATGGAAGCCAAGGGAGCACCAAGTTGCTTAAACCTGTGCATTTTCCTCTTGAATTGGTCCTGGGTCGAGAACTGCTTGTTACTCCATCTGCTGAGGTAATGCAGTAATTCAATATTGACCTTTGCTATTTCTGGTTATTGCTCATGGTCATCAAAGGCCTTTGACCCCAATTCCCTTAACTGTACTTGTAAAGGAACTCATATTTAATGCTATTTCAGAACAATGAGAATTGAAGTCCTTTCATCCATAGCGATCTAGTTTCTGAGCAGACTTCTTAATATTCCATGAAACAAATTTTCAGTGTTTAGAATACCGATTCAGGTTTAGTAACTATCAGCTGAGTTCCCTTCTGCATTCCATTTACAGGGCCGAAAATACGAACTTGTTGCCACAATTACCCACCATGGAAGAGAGCCTTCAAAAGGGCATTACACTGCAGATGCTCGTTATTCTAATGGCCAATGGCTACGTTTTGATGATGCCTCCGTGACTGCCATTGGGACAAGCAAGGTATTGCATGACCAAGCATATGTCCTCTTTTACAAACAACTGTAGAAGGTTACAGAAGAGTTTTGTCATCAACAATGGAGAAAAAAAAGTATCTAAAATACTTTGTGGATACTTGACTCCACCTTACTACTACTTACCACTTTTTCGGGAAAAAACCCTCTTTGCGAAATTGCTTTGTAAGTCACTATCAATAGTTGGTTCCTAAATTATGAATACTAGTAGTAATCGCCACTGATCTGCATTTTGTTTTATTGAAATTAATACATAATTTATTAATACTTGCAATCATATTTTGACCTTCCTCAAATTGCATCAAGGTTAATAGTTCTTACTTTTTAGTACCCGTTTGAATTACTATAACAAAAGCCAATTCAATGGTTGGTTCCTAATAACGACAATTGCAGAGATTGTGGAGAACATTTATAAGAATATATTATGATCAGACTGCCCAAAGAAACATCAAGTCCAATATTCAATGAAAGATACGTTTAGCAGACTTGTAAAATCAACTTGTACAATTACAGACTAAGCAATTCTTGATGTGTTAGTAAATAACAAAAGAAGGATGAGTAATGATCAGAAATGTTGAATTGCACTTGGGAAAACTATAACAGAAGAAAAATTCCTTTCTCTGATTTGACCATCTTTTTAGCTGAGGCGGATCCTACAATTCTCTCAAGCTAACACAAAAAGACAGAAACTAGTCAATATTTGCATTATCTCAAGAAAAATAACAGGCTTGAGGAGTGCAGCTAACCGAAATAATTAAAAGACTTGCATGCATTCTTTGTGTACATACATAGATATAAATAGTTCGCTTTGCATATGTATGTCTTGGCAGTTTTAAGTTCAATTATTAATTCTTAGAGGGGCATATAAAGTTTGCACATAAATCCAGTTTTCGTTGCAGTTCTATTAAATAAATTTGTTAATCATCTCCTTATAGTACTACTGCAATATCAGCCAACAACAGCAATCACATTTTGCACCATGAATTGGCCAGAACACACATTATTTAACTTCGGCACAAGGGTTACCAAAGATCAAAGATTACCCCAGCATATCAAAGCGAGAAAAGAGCACAGTGCATGTCATGTTATGAGACCCATCAGCATGTTAACAATCTGCAAGAGAATATTATTTTATTTTGCGAACAAATAAAAGATAAGCTTTCTGGATGGAAGAAAAATGCTCAACCTGCTGAGCAGGGATGGCAAGGTAATCAGATTCACAGATATCTTGCTCACCTCAGGGTAAAAGTCCTTCCTCTCAGGAGTGAATAGATGATCAAATTTTGAATTCCCGAATCTATCCACCAATTATGGAAAAAAATGCATTAACAATATACACAATGAAGGACACCCAAAATCTTCATAATTACTCTATGTGAGAAACCAATCCAAGTCATCATTTTAATTTAAGATTTCCTCAGAAAACATAATTAACCACTAATAATCATGCTGGGGTGTGTTCTGAGAGTGCTAAATGCTTATATAAACCAAAAATGCATTGTGCAACCCACAGCTCCATTTTCCCCTATTTTCCCATACATTTAAACATTTAAAAAAATCTAAATGACAGTTACATAGCTATTATTTTTCCCATTGTCAAAAATATTTTATTATGAATTACATTTTTCTACTCCGTAATTGCCTAGTGTCCAACTGAAAACTACTACCACTAGAGAAATAATTAACATTTTGACAGAAAGGAGATAAAAGCAGTTTTAAAAACCTTGTATCTATGGTAAAAGTGTGCTCTCTCGGTGTAGAGCATGATCTTTCGCTTTCCTTCAAAAAACCAAACCCGCGCACGAGATATGTCGCTTGCTTCTGTGTAACTAAAGAGAAAAGCTATTATTATAATCATTGGCAAGCAATGAGTAAATTTTACACAGCAGCACCAAAATTTCAGCAGATGACATGAAAATATCTATACATGAATACAAAGTAGGATAGAGCTTCTTACTCCCCAGCAGACAGAAGGATGCATTCTGTGACTTAAAGAAATTTCGAAGACGAACAAATTCAAAATAAGAACTAGTAAATAGCATTATCCCACCCTGCATAGATGAAGAAATGACATAAGAATTCAACAAAATCAGATTAAACTTGATAATTTCATGTACCACAATTCATCTTTAAGGTTTAAAAAAAAAACAAATACCTGAATCGAATCTTTTATCTTTGGGAACACCTGCATCACGAAAATCATTACGATCATTATATCTTCATATTTAACTAGAGGGATGCTATACATCTCAAGTAGGCCAGTAAGGTGCTTCTCTAAGGAGTTAACAGAATGACTTTATAGGGAAGGGTAAGTAATACCAAGAGAAGAGTCTGAGATCTGTTTCTTATACTAAAGCTAAGATCTTCTCGTTGCTTATGTGCACAACTGATGTACACCAGTTGAAATATTTAGAAAAAAAACCATTAAAATTTTCACCAAAATCAACACAACTAGTAAACAGCTAACTGGAGTGTTGAGTTCTTGGAAGGTCAAATCAGAAGGAATTGAAAAACATTATAAGACTAGTAGACTGAAACCAGAGTTTAACTATATAACAATAACACATGCATTGCAACAGGAGAGACTAATGAATGTCTAAATCCCAACAAATAAACTTACACTAAATAAAATACTGTTCAACATGTACCTTCTTTGTAAAATACTCAAGACGAGCATCATCGGCATCTGCTATTGAGTCAGCATTAAACCGTTCATAAATCTGTAAAATTAAAAGAAATAAAACGCATAAATATATAATATAAACCTTAATAATATAGCCATCAAGATAATATATCAGCAGCACTAATCAAAGTTATCAGAAGACCAACAGAGTAAACCTCTAAATAAGTAGTTGACAAACAACAAATAAGGACTTTTTTAGGCCAAACAAATCAGGGAAAAACAATAGGAAGAACTGTGTCCTCTTCTATATTTCTAGATTGTCTTTCAGAGGATTCAGTTGATTTAAAGTTTGAGCCTTTTGGCAACAGTGGTACAATCTTTCCATTTTTATCTCTTCTACATTCTCTTTTATTTGTATATCACTATTATTATTTTTATATTAATATCATGAAAATAAAAGTGAGTTTATTAAACAAAGATGAATGCTAAAGCAAGTTCTTGATATCATGAAGACAATATCAAAAAAGAAAAACACATTCACAGTTCAATGAGGATGGCAGACCATGGAATTAGGCGAAATTTTAGTGATGAACAAGCCAAAACAAGCTGACATACCTGCCGCACATTGAGTAACACTTTGGGAAGAACGCCTTTATATTCACATACCAATTTCACCTGTAATTATAACTAACCAAAAGGGTATTACTGAGACTGCAAAATACTGAATAAAAATATATAGAAGCAGATAGCCTCTTCAATCGTCATTTTAAACTCCTTTCTCTGATTTGACCATCTTTTTAGCTGAGGCGGATCCTACAATTCTCTCAAGCTAACACAAAAAGACAGAAACATAGTCAATATTTGACATTATCTCAAGAAAAATAACAAGGCTTGAGGAGTGCAGCTAACCAGAAATTATTAAAAGACTTGCATGCATTCATTTGTGTACATACATAGATATAAATACATATATATATATATAAATAGTTCGCTTTGCATATTGTATGTCTTGGCAGTTTTTAAAGTTCAATTATTAATTCTTAGAGGGGCATATAAAGTTTGCACATTAAATCCAGTTTTCGTTGCAGGTTCTATTAAAATAAATTTGTTAATCATCTCCCTTATAGTACTACTGCAATATCAGCCAACAACAGCAATCACATTTTGCACCATGAATTGGCCAGAAACACATTATTTAAACTTCTGCACAAGGGTTACCAAAGATCAAAAGATTACCCGAAGCATATCAAAGCGAGAAAAGAGCACAGTGCATGTCATGTTATGAGACCCATCCAGCATGTTAACAATCTGCAAGAGAATTATTAATTTTATTTATGCGAACAAATAAAAATGATAAGCTTTCTGGATGGAAGAAGAAATGCTCAACCAGTTGGCTGAGCAGGGATGGCAAAGGTAATCAGATTCACAGATATCTTGCTCACCTCAGGGTAAAAGTCCTTCCTCTCAGGGAGTGAATAGATGATCAAATTTTGAATTCCACGAATCTATCCACCAATTATGGAAAAAAAAAAATGCATTAACAATATACATCAATGAAGGACAGCCCAAAATCTTCATAATTACTCTATGTGAGAAACCAATCCAAGTCATCATTTTAGTTTGAAGAGTTCCTCAGAAAACATAATTAACCACTAATAATCATGCTGGGGGTGTGTGATCTGAGAGTGCTATATGCTTATATAAACACAAAAATGCATTGTGCAACCCACAGCTCCATTTTCCCCTATTTTCCCATACATTTTAAACATTTAAAAAAATCTAAATGACAGTTACATAGCTATTATTTTTCCCATTTGTCAAAAATATTTTTATTATGAATTACATTTTTCTACTCCGTAATTGCCTAGTGTCCAACTGAAAACTACTACCACTACGAGAAATAATTAACATTTTGACAGAAAGGAGATAAAAGCAGTTTTAAAAACCTTGTATCTATGGTAAAAGTGTGCTCTCTCGGTGTAGAGCATGATCTTTCGCTTTCCTTCAAAAAACCAAACCCGCGCACGAGATATGTCGCTTGCTTCTGTGTAACTAAAGAGAAAAGCTATTATTATAATCAAATTGGCAAGCAATGAGTAAATTTTACACAGCAGCACCAAAATTTCAGCAGATGACATGAAAATATCTGATACATGAATACAAAGTAGGAATAGAGCTTCTTACTCCCCAAGCAGACAGAAGGATGCATTCTGTGACTTTAAGAAATTTCGAAGACGAACAAATTCAAAATAAGAACTAGTAAATAGCATTATCCCACCCTGCATAGATGAAGAAATGACATAAGAATTCAACAAAATCAGATTAAACTTGATAATTTCATGTACCACAATTCATCTTTAAGGTTTAAAAAAAAAACAAATACCTGAATCGAATCTTTTATCTTTGGGAACACCTGCATCACGAAAATCATTACGATCATTATATCTTCATATTTGACTAGAGGGATGCTATACATCTCAAGTAGGCCAGTAAGGTGCTTCTCTAAGGAGTTAACAGAATGACTTTATAGGGAAGGGTAAGTAATACCAAGAGAAGAGTCTGAGATCTGTTTCTTATACTAAAGCTAAGATCTTCTCGTTGCTTATGTGCACAACTGATGTACACCAGTTGAAATATTAAGAAAAAAAACCATTAAAATTTTCACCAAAATCAACACAACTAGTAAACAGCTAACTGGAGTGTTGAGTTCTTGAAAGGTCAAATCAGAAGGAATTGAAAAACATTATAAGACTAGTAGACTGAAACCAGAGTTTAACTATATAACAATAACACATGCATTGCAACAGGAGAGACTAATGAATGTCTAAATCCCAACAAATAAACTTACACTAAATAAAATACTGTTCAACATGTACCTTCTTTGTAAAATACTCAAGACGAGCATCATCGGCATCTGCTATTGAGTCAGCATTAAACCGTTCATAAATCTGTAAAATTAAAAGAAATAAAACGCATAAATATATAATATAAACCTTAATAATATAGCCATCAAGATAATATATCAGCAGCACTAATCAAAGTTATCAGAAGACCAACAGAGTAAACCTCTAAATAAGTAGTTGACAAACAACAAATAAGGACTTTTTTAGGCCAAACAAATCAGGGAAAAACAATAGGAAGAACTGTGTCCTCTTCTATATTTCTAGATTGTCTTTCAGAGGATTCAGTTGATTTAAAGTTTGAGCCTTTTGGCAACACTGGATCTTTCCATTTTTATCTCTTCTACATTCTCTTTTATTTGTATATCATTATTATTATTTTTATATTAATATCATGAAAATAAAAGAGAGTTTATTAAACAAAGATGAATGCTAAAGCAAGTTCTTGATATCATGAAGACAATATCAAAAAATAAAAACACATTCACAGTTCAATGAGGATGGCAGACCATGGAATTAGGCGAAATTTTAGTGATGAACAAGCCAAAACAAGCTGACATACCTGCCGCACATTGAGTAACACTTTGGGAAGAACGCCTTTATATTCACATACCAATTTCACCTGTAATTATAACTAACCAAAAGGGTATTACTGAGACTGCAAAATGCTGAATAAAAATATATAGAAGCAGATAGCCTCTTCAATTAGCAAATTAACATATCAGTGTCCTTAGATGTGAAAAGTGAAGGACTAGGAATTTTATCATAAACCTCATAGTTATTTGTTGTTCAATATTTGAACTTGCACTATGGAAAAGGATAAAATGAATAAGATAGTGTAAAATTAAAAATTTGTTGAAAACTTGAAAATAAATTTCCAGTCTACATTATCGGAACATCTGGCATCAAGTCCTCAACACTGATCAAAGCATGTGGAACTTGATAAAAGAAACCAAAAAAGCCAAACCATGTCTCACATAAGCAACACCACAGAATTTGTTGATAAAATTTAATATTAAAAAATATTGAAATAAAGGTTAAAATCAATCATTTTAAATAAACAGACGAAAATCTAGATTTCATGTTTTCTTCAAAAGTTATTTGAGACTTGAGACAGTGTAGAAACACCTCACCAAATTAGGGTAGGCATTGAATTGCATCTCTCTAAGAATCCTGATGCATGCACAAAGTGTAAAAAAATGAAGAATACCAACGCACCTTTCCTTTATAGTTAGCACAACGGTGATTAAAGAAAGCATTGATGTCTGGAACAAGAACATACGGTACTAGGTTAGACATAAATAAGCATCAGAACACACCAAACCATTCATTTGAATAATGCATGGAAATGATACACATAAGCTATTCAAAACGAACCCAACGAAAAAATATATATATAAAAAAAAGAAGTACAACCAAATTAAAGTTTCATTATTTGAAATCTTTGAATTCTACATCTTGATTTGTATATTATAAATGACGAGATAACTCATCATGTACATGTGCATAAAAGACGGTAATCTACTAATCTGTAGACGATTATTTATTACGATTTCATAACATTTACACATAAATAAACAATACGCTAAAGCTATTAAAAGCCTGACTTGAAAAAGAATGGGATACCTTACCTGGGTTCAAATAATAACTTAAAATTATTGATTGCCGGTAAAACCTTGCATATCCATCCAAATACCTGACATGACATATAATGTTTGGGAATCAATTTATTAGATAAAATGATACTAAATCAGACGAAACTTCACCTACTGAATTTTTCAGTTGATATGAAGTAAACAAACATTACCATTCTGCAAAAGTTTCTTAAAATTTCAGCAAAGATCTGGAAATCTTTGCCATTACACGACAAGAAGTTCCAAGAGCCAGTGTATAAACCATTCAAAGTAGAAAATATTATCTACACATACCACTGTCTAATGCGCATGACATCAGTTCCATGTTGTTTAGATGGTATGCCATTCAATTGCTCAACGACAGAAGTTAGAAACGTCCAGTTCTGGATATTCATCAAAACAGGGAAAAAATTTAAAAATAAAAAAAAGGATGGTAATTGTACTCAATGCAATAAACTGGAAAACCCACAATTAAAGTAATTCAATAAATCACAAGATTACCTGCATTGATATTACATCTGCATGATCAATAATAAGAACCTGGTCATACCGAAGAAACATTATTCTCCATTAGCACGAAAAGAGAGTAATATATATGTGTGTGTGTGCGTATATATATAAGAACCAGAGAAAGAGAGAGAATAAAGCATTAAAAACAAATTTATACCTCTATTGAAGAAAGGTAATCGACATCCAATTCTTTGTTTTTTTCAGTCTTTCCAATTTTCTAACAACAATGAAGTACAGTTAATTGCATGCTTAAACAAAACACAAAAAACTTTATCTCGGCGATAAACAGGGAAAGATGAGCAATATATTGAAAATAATCAAATGGATTAGCATCCAAACATAACATTGCATCAGCATGAACCTCCATTTGATCAGCAACATATATATAATTCAAGCTGCACTTAAAGGTATTTTGCAGATTTCTATAATTTTTTTTTCTATATATTGTAGTCAAGATATCATATGACACTTCAAAGAAGTTTTAAGGCTAAATAAAATAAATAAATGAAATGTGAAGATCCCATAAAGTTCCTATTGATCCAAAAAAAAACAGGGCACCAACATGGCATTACAAAATCAACNTAAACAAAACACAAAAAACTTTATCTCGGCGATAAACAGGGAAAGATGAGCAATATATTGAAAATAATCAAATGGATTAGCATCCAAACATAACATTGCATCAGCATGAACCTCCATTTGATCAGCAACATATATATAATTCAAGCTGCACTTAAAGGTATTTTGCAGATTTCTATAATTTTTTTTTTCTATATATTGTAGTGAAGATATCATATGACACTTCAAAGAAGTTTTAAGGCTAAATAAAATAAAAAAATGAAATGTGAAGATCCCATAAAGTTCCTATTGATCCAAAAAAAAACAGGGCACCAACATGGCATTACAAAATCAACTCATTTAACTTCTTGCTAAATAGACAGATATTCTGTGCAATATTTTCACACCATTGTTCCCAATTAAACAGGGCGCATTTCCAAATACAAGAGCTGCCTGCATTAGGTGTAGTAAGATAATTCTGGTTTTTAGTACTTGTCCATGACATAGTGCCTCTCCTTTTTGGGGTTTCTTTTTGCACAGGCTCATGATACTGCTTGTAAAGCTATAGCTTTAGTCCCTTTTTAGATGGGCTACTTTTGTAGGAGCAGATTCCTGATCCACTTTCTAAGTTTTTTCATTAATACACATTTCTACGTTTCCTATAGAAAAATAAATAAATTAATTAAAAAAAAAAAAATACAAGAGCTGCCTGTCACTGAAGGCAATGAATGAAGAGCCAGATATTAAGCATATCTCAAGGACTCAAATTTAATTTTGCTCATCAAGAAGTGGACCCAGATGGAAATACAGTTTCTGAGGGAAAAAAAATGTTTAACTTTTTTCCAACCTTGACTCACATGAGGAATATCTTTTAACATTCTGCTTTGATGAAAAACACTACTACTTTCATCAGAATTACTGGGAAGCCTAGACCCCCCATCCAAACTGAGTCAGGAAGGCTATTAAATCTTGATGTTTTCAGAATATGATAAAAGGAAGACTCCACAAGACAGTGTAAGCCATAGGCAAAACGTTAAGTGTCTTCCAAGACATGATAACTATGGACAGACAGCAAACAATTAACCGAACAGGCAGTTACTCATAAAAATTGCATTGCACAATGGTATACCATGTGAAAAGAATCATATGTGGAAAAAACACAGTCAAAATCAGAAAAAAGGGCCAAAAAATAAATTTAAACATTGAGATTGTATGGAAAGGGTAAGTGCTTACCGCAAGTAAGTTGATAGGAGAGGCGAAAATAATGTCTGAGGAGTAGAAATCATTGTACAACTTTATGCTCTTCCTAGACAGGAAAGGGTGAAAAAAGAGTGAACAAAGCAACACTAAAAATGAGTAACATGCAAATTCATGATCTCTCTTCCGACACTTTAGCAAACAATAAATAATGATAACAATGTAAGACTATAAATTAATTACAACTTTGAAACAATTTACCACTAAAAATTGGTCAAATTAAAATAAATGGCCAAAGTGAAGATCTAGTACAGAAACATGAAATGTCATAACAGTAGTGCCCCCAATATTGTTAATCTCTTTAAATATTGTTTTTCAAGAGAATCCAAGAGCATGTTCAACTCATTTATGGTTCCACAGGAATAATTGCAGAATATTTTCCTTAAATGCAATATATTTTCACAATTCTCTTCAGATTTTGGGATAGAAATAGATAGTACTCTTAATAAAAACACCATTTAGTAAAGTTAAATTAATTGTTTTTGACAGTGTACAAGAAAAATACAGAGCATTGGTATATGAGAAAGTAATATACCTTGTAAATTTAATGCCTATCATAAAGTCATCATCTTTATTACCACCAAAAAGTATTTGAAAGTCTCTGGGTTTGGAAGACTTCTGAGACTTTGACTTCCCAGTGCCATGGAGATCTTGTGATGATTGATTATTGTCTTTCTCATCTTCCTCTTCTTCAACTCCAAATTCATCATAGAAACGGTCAAGGTGCTCAATATTTACCTGAGAAAACAGTAACAAAAATATAAACTAGGACAAGAACCATTCAATAATTCTTCAGCACCAAATCCATCACAGAAAAGCTATTTTTACAATTGCACTTAAAATCTTTGCATTAAAAAAAAAAAAAAAATCTTTTAACCACTCCAATCCCATGCCAAATGGACCCCTCGGCTTACTTTTAAATCATGTTTAAGATAGATTTATGTAATCTTGAACTTCACTGCTATTGGTATTAGGATTAGATTCTGATGGACCCGCGGTAATCAAATGGTTTATTAGAAAAGGGCAAAAAGGGAAAGGAAGGGATGACAAGGCTGGACAGGTGGCAAAGGTAACAAAGAAAGAAGCAGATGGCACAATAAAGAGTTGACAGATGGCAGCAATGAAGGATTGATGGATGGCAAATTGGCTGGCGCAATGAAAGGGTGATGGTTGTGATGAATTAGTTATGAATTTGTTAGAGTTTGTTGGAGAGGGAATCTAGCGCAAGGTTAAAAGGGGGAGCAGCAGCGTAGGATTGGACATGGGAAAAATTAGTAGGGAATATGAATAGGAGGAACTGACCCTCGAAGCTCAGTGTTATCTTTTTCTTTTCTGTAAATTCCAAAGTTTCCTTTTATTTTCTGAGTGTTCTGTGGTTGAATTTCTATGTTATACGTGTTAGAGTGTGAAAACCATTGTTGAAAGTGAGTTTGAGAATTGGGTTTCCATCAAACTGGTATCAGAGCCAGACGATTACAATGTTATGGTTGGTACAACAATGGAGAGCAGGATGGACAACGTTGAGAAGGACGTCGCCAGAGTATCGGAGACGGTAAACATGATGAGGGAAATCTTAATGGATATGCAGAATTGGATGTGAAGGAAGGATGAGGAGGAAGAAGAGCGAAGAAGAAATTCAAGCCGAGGCTGGGAGAGCCAAGCTGAGCAGGAGCTTCACGGAGAAACTGGAGGTCAGGGAGGAACCGGCGATGGAGGCCGTACTGAGCAGGAGTTTCACAGGGATACCGGAAACCACAGTGGAGCAGGATGGGACCGGAACGGGGAAGGATGGAACCACCGCGAATGGGTTGGCCAAAAACTGGAGCTACCAATCTTCTCTGGTGAAGACCCGTATGGATGGATCTTTCGTGTGGAGCGCTATTTCGCCATTAATCAGGTCAACGACGAACAAAGGGTGTCGGCGACAGCACTATGTATGGAGGGAGAAGTCGTCCATTGGTATCAATGGATGGAAAAAATTAGTAGGGAATATGAATAGGAGGAACTGACCCTTGAAGCTCAGTGTTTTTCTTTTCTTTTCTGTAAATTCCAGAGTTTCCTTGATACAAAAGTTTCCTTTTTTTTTTTTCTGAGTGTTCTATGGTTGAATATCTATGTTATACGTGTTAGAGTGTGAAAACAATTGTTGAAAGTGAGTCTGAGAGTTGGGTTTCCTTCAGATTCTTAATGTAATTTGAGTTTTGAAATATGCTTATCTACATGCTTAAAACAAGGGCCATAAGAATAATGACAAAAATTTGGTCAAAATAAATTATTGAGAGCAATTAGATCTCCTTTTCCTCGTTTTCTTTGTTTTCTAAATTCTAGCTTGAGTTTATATTATCTTTCTCTCTTCTCTTTAGTTTTCTCTCCCAAATTTTCCTTTCAGTTTTCAAGCTACATCACTCTGATAGATTTGCGTATCCCAGCAAATCCAGTATAAAATTGGAGTTGGCCCATATCAAGATGAGTCACCAGTATTTTGGTGATCACCAACTATAAGATACATATGAGTTGACTAAACAAAAATGTCACTAGGTTTCTGACTCTCAGCAAATGTTTAAATCAATCTACTTACACCAGTGCAGATATTAGGTTTTATCAAAGGAACTTTTGAAATGACTAAGCAACAGTAAATAAGAGGAACTAAGATTACCTTGTAAGTATTAGGGGTCAGTTGTATTAATCTCTTAATGACTTTAAGTGCAATGCTTCTCAGTGGCAGCAATATCAAGACCTGGAACACATGATTAAAACTAATATTAAAAGCAGAGCAAGCACTCTGTATACAATTGTACAGAGATAATTGGCTGTTTCCAAGAAATGGGAGGGCAGAACGATTTGAAGTACCGCTACTGATTTTATACAAATTATTCTGAGGAAGGAGATAAGATAGAAGTGGAAAAATAAATTATATTACGCACAAGATGAATGTAAACTTTAAAAGATAGCCATGCTAATTCAGAATGTAGTCATAACAGCATGTAATTATAATGTCCCACAAGAAATGGAAGCAGAAACATCAACATAAATATGTGCAATATACAACATTCTGAAAATTGTAAACAAGCTCAAGAACAACACACAAGATAACTAGCTCATGACTAGAAATAAATTGTTCGTATAATTAAGATGCAAAAGAGAAAACTTGCTTTTGGAATATTTGTACTTTCAAAGAGTTCTACACTTCTATAATTGCAACATGAAATGGTTAAATTCCAAAACATAGAGATAAGTGTTGATCAGCTTACATAGGATGAATCTGAATAAGAGTTAAAACTTTTTTTGATAGGAGAGTACGGGTTACTATAATTTCTGTGGTTTAAATGAAATATATAATACATATACATTGAATATACCATTAAACCCAAAAAAGAGAAAAATTATGCAGGTGAAATGTTAAATTGTTGACGAAGAAAAGAACACAAAGCAAAAATTGAAGCTTGTCTCTAAAAATTACTATATTAAGTGCAAATTTCTTAGATATAATGCAGTAAGCATAACAAGCACATAAAAAGCACTGAACGCTACCTTAGGACGAGTAAATCCTCGATCAAGGAAACCATCACCAACAAGTATTTCCTCCTTGGCACTCTCTTTATTCTTTGCCACCTTTGCGTCATTTTTTGTCACAAGATCTCTAGTTCTGAAGATGTGATTGAGCTGCATGACACACACTTTATTTCATTATTACGACAGAATGACTACTCAAACTTCTAATGTAAAAGGAAAAGTGATAGAGGCAAGGACGCACAGAATGCATAAGGTACGCATCCATAATACTTGAATCTTCTTCCTGGCCCTTATAATAAAAAGGTTTCTTGTTACAGTGCAGTATATCCTGATAGCTGTTGCCTAGAAAGAAAAAAAGAAGTATATGACCACATAAGTTCAACCAAAAATAAATCCCAACCTGATTGCACAGACATTATTTTTCTACCATCACAAGACGACAACTTGAAGTATAAGGATACAACATGCCAAAGCATAAATATTAATTTACCCCATACCATAATAGAGAAGGTGATAGACATGAAATTGATATAGTAAATATCAAACTCAAACAAGTTGAGTACTGATTACTATAATCTTATACCATTGTATTAACAAGTGGCACACAGCCAAATTTCACCTAGACATGAATAAAAAAATAAGCAAGAACATGGTAAACTTCCAAATATTCTTCTATGAGGCATACTTACAAAGAGAGAAAAACCGTCTTTGTTTGGATGAATTAAAGTCGTTGCCTCTAGATGTCTTATAAATATCTAACCAGTGCTTGTACAACTTCGGTTTGAGACCATAATCAGAATTTGGATTAATATCCTGCAAAAAGTAATGGGATTACCCAGAAAATTTACCAAAAGTGAAGAACAAACATTTGAATAAAGCCAGAACCCAACTCTAAAATTGTAAATCAAGGAATGACAAGCATGCAAAGTGGTTTGCAGACCATGCTGGTATTTTAGCTACAGTGAGTCTGATTTTGTATGACAAGAAGCTAAGCTTCCCATCTAAGGGTAGTTTTGTGAGACCTCCCAATCGACCTCTCAGTCTATCGCTGCCATACAACTAATATTTAAAAGACTTCGATGAGCACACGCCAAGGACATCATTTACCTTATAGCTGCTATCTATATATAATTCTAGAAAATTTCACCACAAAAAAACAACACCAGTTGCTATGAATTATAACAAAGATTGTGTCATCCCACTGATCTGGAGTGGTAAGGACATAATTTTCACATCAAAATTAGAAGAAGAAGAAAGGAATTATTTCCTGCATGTATAGACAAACAATATCAAAAAATAAATAAAAATCTATAACCCAGGAAAGATGCAACACATACCTTAATAAAACACTCTCCCGTTCCTGTCCACTTGCAATTTGACATGTCAACAGCAGGTACTTCCCATTTATATTTCAATTTCTTGTCTGATAGATTGTCAACCTCTGCTTTTGTTAAATTGTATCCAAAGTGTTCATTATAAGAACTGCATCATGAAAATTATCGTTAAACTTCTAGAATGACAACTCACAAAAGATTAAGAATTGTCACAGCTTCATAGGATTATGAGTTAGTTTCATTTTATATGAAATACTATGTAACGATATAGTAGAAAAAAGGTCAATCAAAATGACATCAAGTAAATAAACCTTGCATATGTTGATGCCTCTACTGAAGATTGACCACCAACACCCAAGCCATGTTCTTCATCTGTGTCAGAGGCCTCGTAATCAGCTTCAATTTCAGCATCTACACTTTGCTCCACGATGCCAACTTTGTTGGGCTCTTGCAGTTTACTATCACTTGTAGGAGACCCATTATCAGAATCTACAAACAAATATGAATAAATAACACAGTGAAATACATGACAAAAAACTATGCTTGAAGGAAATGTTAGGAAATTAAAAAATATAACCAATAGGATGCTTACACATGCAAACACAACTAAATTAAATATACAAACTATATAAAAAAACTTCAATTCGATAACACATTTATATCGGTACCTCAGAAAAATCTCGAGTGATGAAACTTTTCATTCTGGAGACCAGTACCAATGATTTGTGACAATTATAATATACCCAACAGTTTGGTCAAAGCAAGGTTTCTTAAGTGAACCTACCCACATTACCCAAATACACTATGCCAATGAAAATATTATGCAATTCATATAAGCAAATTTGAAAACTCAAGTTAAGACACCTATATACATAGCTCAAGTAAACCAATTAAAGAAATAACAAAACTACAGCAGATAATGATCAAACATATTTGCATCCATAAATAAAAGTCTATTAAATGTCTCAACCTTGTATGAACAAAAATACCCATGATAATTAGTGAGATCCTTAAATTTTCCAATTACTTTGGCAGACACATGCTCTGTTATTGTACCTTCCCATATCCCCAATTATTTTCTTCACCAAAGAAAGAATCAAAATATAGCTCAGAGATTAAAGAAATTAAATGATAAACAAGAAAAAAAAAGATTTCTTAAATAATTAAAATCCACACCTTTTATAAGGAAAATATAAGGTAGTCCTTACCTTTATCACCATCATCATCCCCTTTCTCTGACAGACTATCAGAGTCCGAGCCATCAACTTCATCTTCTTCTGAGTCACTTCTACCTTCTTCCTGTCTTTGTCTAAACAAGACAAACGACAGATTTTTAAATTTTTAAATTTATTAAAATCAATTCTACTTTGCGAAATGCTGAATTACATAATTCAATAATAAAAAAAATTAAAAAAATTAAAAAAAAAAGTATCCCATAAAATAAAATAAAATATTTCACAATTAACAATTATGAATTTTGGAAATGCTGTATAACGATTCCAAGGGTGACCAGTTATTGGCAAAAGAATATTATATTCCACAATGTAAGACTATGTGGTTGCTACATTCCTACTAATAGTATTTTTTTTTTTTTTTTTAAGATGAAAATCTACTTACACCAGTGCAGATATTAGGTTTTATCAAAGGAACTTTTGAAATGACTAAGCAACAGTAAATAAGAGGAACTAAGATTACCTTGTAAGTATTAGGGGTCAGTTGTATTAATCTCTTAATGACTTTAAGTGCAATGCTTCTCAGTGGCAGCAATATCATGACCTAGAACACATTATTAAAACTAATATTAAAAGCAGAGCAAGCACTCTGTATACAATTGTACAGAGATAATTGGCTGTTTCCAAGAAATGGGAGGGCAGAACAATTTGAAGTACCGCTACTGATTTTATTCAAATTATTCTGAGGAAGGAGATAAGATAGAAGTGGAAAAATAAATTATATTACGCACAAGATGAATGTAAACTTTAAAAGATAGCCATGCTAATTCAGAATGTAGTCATAACAGCATGTAATTATAATGTCCCACAAGAAATGGAAGCAGAAACATCAACATAAATATGTGCAATATACAACATTCTGAAAATTGTAAACAAGCTCAAGAACAACACACAAGATAACTAGCTCATGACTAGAAATAAATTGTTCGTATAATTAAGATGCAAAAGAGAAAACTTGCTTTTGGAATATTTGTACTTTCAAAGAGTTCTACACTTCTATAATTGCAACATGAAATGGTTAAATTCCAAAACATAGAGATAAGTGTTGATCAGCTTACATAGGATGAATCTGAATAAGAGTTAAAACTTTTTTTGATAGGAGAGTACGGGTTACTATAATTTCTGTGGTTTAAATGAAATATATAATACATATACATTGAATATACCATTAAACCCAAAAAAGAGAAAAATTATGCAGGTGAAATGTTAAATTGTTGACGAAGAAAAGAACACAAAGCAAAAATTGAAGCTTGTCTCTAAAAATTACTATATTAAGTGCAAATTTCTTAGATATAATGCAGTAAGCATAACAAGCACATAAAAAGCACTGAACGCTACCTTAGGACGAGTAAATCCTCGATCAAGGAAACCATCACCAACAAGTATTTCCTCCTTGGCACTCTCTTTATTCTTTGCCACCTTTGCGTCATTTTTTGTCACAAGATCTCTAGTTCTGAAGATGTGATTGAGCTGCATGACACACACTTTATTTCATTATTACGACAGAATGACTACTCAAACTTCTAATGTAAAAGGAAAAGTGATAGAGGCAAGGACGCACAGAATGCATAAGGTACGCATCCATAATACTTGAATCTTCTTCCTGGCCCTTATAATAAAAAGGTTTCTTGTTACAGTGCAGTATATCCTGATAGCTGTTGCCTAGAAAGAAAAAAAGAAGTATATGACCACATAAGTTCAACCAAAAATAAATCCCAACCTGATTGCACAGACATTATTTTTCTACCATCACAAGACGACAACTTGAAGTATAAGGATACAACATGCCAAAGCATAAATATTAATTTACCCCATACCATAATAGAGAAGGTGATAGACATGAAATTGATATAGTAAATATCAAACTCAAACAAGTTGAGTACTGATTACTATAATCTTATACCATTGTATTAACAAGTGGCACACAGCCAAATTTCACCTAGACATGAATAAAAAAATAAGCAAGAACATGGTAAACTTCCAAATATTCTTCTATGAGGCATACTTACAAAGAGAGAAAAACCGTCTTTGTTTGGATGAATTAAAGTCGTTGCCTCTAGATGTCTTATAAATATCTAACCAGTGCTTGTACAACTTCGGTTTGAGACCATAATCAGAATTTGGATTAATATCCTGCAAAAAGTAATGGGATTACCCAGAAAATTTACCAAAAGTGAAGAACAAACATTTGAATAAAGCCAGAACCCAACTCTAAAATTGTAAATCAAGGAATGACAAGCATGCAAAGTGGTTTGCAGACCATGCTGGTATTTTAGCTACAGTGAGTCTGATTTTGTATGACAAGAAGCTAAGCTTCCCATCTAAGGGTAGTTTTGTGAGACCTCCCAATCGACCTCTCAGTCTATCGCTGCCATACAACTAATATTTAAAAGACTTCGATGAGCACACGCCAAGGACATCATTTACCTTATAGCTGCTATCTATATATAATTCTAGAAAATTTCACCACAAAAAAACAACACCAGTTGCTATGAATTATAACAAAGATTGTGTCATCCCACTGATCTGGAGTGGTAAGGACATAATTTTCACATCAAAATTAGAAGAAGAAGAAAGGAATTATTTCCTGCATGTATAGACAAACAATATCAAAAAATAAATAAAAATCTATAACCCAGGAAAGATGCAACACATACCTTAATAAAACACTCTCCCGTTCCTGTCCACTTGCAATTTGACATGTCAACAGCAGGTACTTCCCATTTATATTTCAATTTCTTGTCTGATAGATTGTCAACCTCTGCTTTTGTTAAATTGTATCCAAAGTGTTCATTATAAGAACTGCATCATGAAAATTATCGTTAAACTTCTAGAATGACAACTCACAAAAGATTAAGAATTGTCACAGCTTCATAGGATTATGAGTTAGTTTCATTTTATATGAAATACTATGTAACGATATAGTAGAAAAAAGGTCAATCAAAATGACATCAAGTAAATAAACCTTGCATATGTTGATGCCTCTACTGAAGATTGACCACCAACACCCAAGCCATGTTCTTCATCTGTGTCAGAGGCCTCGTAATCAGCTTCAATTTCAGCATCTACACTTTGCTCCACGATGCCAACTTTGTTGGGCTCTTGCAGTTTACTATCACTTGTAGGAGACCCATTATCAGAATCTACAAACAAATATGAATAAATAACACAGTGAAATACATGACAAAAAACTATGCTTGAAGGAAATGTTAGGAAATTAAAAAATATAACCAATAGGATGCTTACACATGCAAACACAACTAAATTAAATATACAAACTATATAAAAAAACTTCAATTCGATAACACATTTATATCGGTACCTCAGAAAAATCTCGAGTGATGAAACTTTTCATTCTGGAGACCAGTACCAATGATTTGTGACAATTATAATATACCCAACAGTTTGGTCAAAGCAAGGTTTCTTAAGTGAACCTACCCACATTACCCAAATACACTATGCCAATGAAAATATTATGCAATTCATATAAGCAAATTTGAAAACTCAAGTTAAGACACCTATATACATAGCTCAAGTAAACCAATTAAAGAAATAACAAAACTACAGCAGATAATGATCAAACATATTTGCATCCATAAATAAAAGTCTATTAAATGTCTCAACCTTGTATGAACAAAAATACCCATGATAATTAGTGAGATCCTTAAATTTTCCAATTACTTTGGCAGACACATGCTCTGTTATTGTACCTTCCCATATCCCCAATTATTTTCTTCACCAAAGAAAGAATCAAAATATAGCTCAGAGATTAAAGAAATTAAATGATAAACAAGAAAAAAAAAGATTTCTTAAATAATTAAAATCCACACCTTTTATAAGGAAAATATAAGGTAGTCCTTACCTTTATCACCATCATCATCCCCTTTCTCTGACAGACTATCAGAGTCCGAGCCATCAACTTCATCTTCTTCTGAGTCACTTCTACCTTCTTCCTGTCTTTGTCTAAACAAGACAAACGACAGATTTTTAAATTTTTAAATTTATTAAAATCAATTCTACTTTGCGAAATGCTGAATTACATAATTCAATAATAAAAAAAATTAAAAAAATTAAAAAAAAAAGTATCCCATAAAATAAAATAAAATACTTCACAATTAACAATTATGAATTTTGGAAATGCTGTATAATGATTCCAAGGCTGACCAGTTATTGGCAAAAGAATATTATATTCCACAATGTAAGACTATGTGGTTGCTACATTCCTACTAATAGTATTTTTTTTTTTTTTTTAAGATGAAAGGAGCTTTAAGAAACTAAATTACTGATGTTCAAAAACTAAAATAATGACATTTTGAGTTTGAATTTCAACTCAAAGGAAAAGAATAAAGAATAAGTTTAACAGCAAATTCCAATTCTTCTGTGTTTCTTAGAAACTCCAAACCCACCAATTAGTATATCCAAATGCCCTTCTACATAATTCAGATGATGTTTCCAGCCACAAGGCAGTTAATGATTAATTTTTACACCAATTACAATCAATTTAAACTCATCAACAAGGTTTTGAGCATCTTTGGGCCGATGAATTTCAGTCCAGAGACACGTGTGATTTTATCACGCCACCTTGATGATCGCCCACTACTTGTTTTCTCCGCCTTAACATGCTTAAATTCCTTTACACTCGATTCATTTAATAATGCATGATGAGCAAAAGAAAGAGTAGAAACTTCAAGGAAAAAGCAACTAGAAAGGAAGTAAGAAAATGTACGAACTATACCATTCGTCACAATTTACCTCATCTTAAATGCATTGGCAAGAGATTCACTGCTTGACCCAAGTTTCATTAACAAATTATCATATACTGATGGCTCTTTGTAAATTACTTCCTCTTCAGATGCAACACCGCTAGATCCTTCAGCCGAAACATCCCCTGTATAAACAATTCATTGAAACTTCATTAGTTTCAACACATTGACCATAAAATCCAAATAAATAATTCCACAAATTTAACAAGAACACAACATATGACATATACTAGTCAGTAATTACTCAAAAAAATTGATTAATGCATTTCACAGTCCATAATGGCAAAGCAAAGAACAAAACATAAAGGCATTAAAAACATAAATTGAACATGGGCAGTATATAAGGCAAAGAGTTAGCATACCTGATGAACTTGGAGAGGCGCTGCGAGCCACTTTTTCTTCCCTTTGTTGATTTTTCTTCGGACGCTTATTTCTATCAAACTTTGGCGGCATCTTTCGCTTTTTCATTCCGGCTTCAAAAATTTATATAAAAAAAATCATAAAGCTGATGAAAACATGAACTAAACAACAATTAACTAATACAAAGATCAACTAAAACTTCTTTTCTCGTTAAAGTTGAGAAGAATAGCAAAGAGTAACATCCAATTTCAATGACGAGTTTTATATATTTCAAACCCAACAGAAGCCGAAAAAAACCTTGTTTTCTACCAAACTGCTTCCCCATCGTAATAAAACAAATTTCGGTTCAATCGAATTTATTTGAATTCCAGTTTTAAACTGGTCTAGAGAGAGAGTTATTAGTATAAAAGGGTTTTAGCTCTAGGGTTTTAGCGGGAGAATATACTGTGAAGACGAAATGAACCGGGTTCGATCCTCGTTTAATTCGGGCTTGGGCTTGGGCATAGTCCTGATCTTGTACTTGGGCTTGGCTTCGGCTTGGGCTCGGGCTCAGACTTGGGTCCGATTATATTGAATTTCAGCCCATATTATGTTAAAGACAATTTGAAATTTTTTGTCTAACCAACGTGTCTGGGTCCACGCTCTCCCAAGTCCACTACAAGCAGACCCATCTAGTCCTTGGGAGTGGTGTTCAAAAGCGTTAACAGAACCGGTTAACCCTTTTCTAACCGAACCGCATTTTCGATTCGAGAAAATTTTCGAACCGAAACTGAACCAGTTTTAGGGAAAACCAGTTTAAAAAAAGAGGTTAACCCGTTTTGAACCATTTTCCCTTTTTTTTTTTTTTTTTTTAATAAAACTTTTTTTTTTGTCCTAAATTGATTGTAAATATAGACAATACATTGGAACTAAAAAAAAAAAATTTGGGTTGGGATTTTAGATTGAGTGAATTAGGGATTTATTTTATTTTAGTTATTATTTATTTATTTAATATATATATATATATATATATATTTTTTTTTTTTTTTGAAAAACCGGTTTTTGGTTAACCGTTTCTAATTTTTCCCGAATCGGTAACCGAACCGAAAATTCGATTTTTTGAATTTTTCGAACCGTAACCGAACCGTTTTTTCGATTAACCGGTTTTTCGGTTCGGTTCGGTTTTTGTATTTTTTTTAACACCCCTACCTCGGGGTGGACTACATGACCACCTCACCACAACCCCTAGGTAATACGTGAGTGTCTAGGTGGGGACTCGAACTCTAGCCCTCTAGCTTAGCCGAAAACCAATCCGCCTCTAATTTTATTATTTTTGTCTATGCATCAAACCAATGGGTATTGATGTTTAAATATCTAAAGTATTGATTAATCAGAATAAATAATTAACCCAAGTTAAATAAATTGTTGCTTACCAAAAGGTGCTCAACCTAATTGCTTGGACTTTATGAATGGACCCCAAATACTATACCTAACAGTTTCCAAAAGATATTAAGTAAATTTGCTTGCATCCCTTCAAAGTTTTGTTGGTATTGCTTCAAATGGTTGCTTGATTTCTTTTATATATTTGAAAATATTTTTTTTACCATATTACATAAATAGGTGGAAAGCACTAGCCTTGTCACCAGATGGTAAAACTTTAGCCGTCTAAGTGAGTTACCCAGATGTCTTGTGTTCAAGTCCCACAAAGTGACCACCTACCACATTTGTGACTTATTTGACTCATTGGATTTTTAGGATATTCAATGGACCCGTAAGTTGGCCCGAACACCCTGATCAACAAAAGAAAAAAAATGGGTGGTTGGTTTTCTATATTAAAATGAACAACAAAGTGAATAAAGTTGGCATTTAATTTACTCTTTGGTTAAGAACCTTTTCTTTTTGTGGGTGCTTTACATGGTAGCTTGCTACCTTCACATATTCTAAGTGTTCTTTCTCTTTTTTTGGTCCAATTTGGACATAGAGAACAACAGCTAATAAATCAAATAAATGTAATTCTATTATACCCAAAAGGGTTGTGAAACCAAACCAAAAATCAACTTATTGATTCAACAAAACAAGCTATTGCTTTAAAATATGTTAATAAAGAAGCATCATTTTGTTGTTCTTGATCATAGCACCAAATAATCTTATTCCTTAAAATATTTATAACTAAGAAAAAGGTACAAGTTCAAGTTCATATTGTTCATGTTCTTATTGTTCATGTTCTTATCCCTTTTAGTTAATTTGTATTCTTTCTTTGTATGCACTCTTCCAATGTTGGTGGGGTAGCAGTGTCTGGTTTGAGGGTAACAATGCCATGTTCTTGGGTCCCTGACCAAAAAACCTCACTTGATTAAGCTTAATTTTGTCATTAATTAGAAAGCACATGCATAGCTGCAACACTATAATGTTAATGCTAAAGAATATTATTTCTTTTCATTGATTGAATGCCTCCCAAACTCCAATTACAATTGCTTACAAATATAAAAAACTGTATAAGACTTAAAAAGCTGAAGAAAAAAAGAAAACACACCACTCAACAATGTCTAATATGTTACATCCTAAAGGGTTTCACTCTAAGTTTTAACTTCACATTAAGAACTCAACCCAAAAAACCCAAATAACACCAAACTTTAGGCTTCAACTATGCCTCCTATGTTCAACTATAGACACAAAAAAAAAAACAATTATGGAAGCATTGCAAACACATAAAAAAGGAGCCAATGCTTCATCAACTGTGATGCCACAACCCTGAAAAACTTCCCGGCTAACACAAGATGGTAGACTTTTCTTCGGTATAATTTGGTTCTGTAGAGTTGTCTTGTTTCTCAGGAGAGTGCTTTGGAACCCACCATACCCTGACACTTTTATCAAGGCCTCCACTATAGAGCAAAAACCCACCACCAATACTATTAGGTGATGCTTGCAAACATTTTACAGGCCCTTCATGGCCGTTTATGATCCCAACTTTACAAAGTTTACCATAAGCTTCTCTCTTCCATATGCCAATACTCTTATCAGCTGAACCACTGCAAAATAACTCCCCAGCCAAGCACACACACAAAACGGCCATTTCATGTGCTTTTATCTCACAAATCAACTTCCAACTTACAAAATCAGCACTTCCCTCCCATCCCATCACAAACCCATCTGAACCTGCTCCATACACCCACTTCCCATCCTCAGAAACCACCACTGAATTCAATGAAACATCTTTATGACCCTCCAAAATCCCCTTCAATGAATGTGAACTTTTCCCTTCTTTACCCCAAGCCTTAATCTTCCCATCTGCTGAAGCTGAATACACAATCCCTTTACTAGCAACCAGCCCATTTATGGCATCATCATGAGCCTTAATTGACTCCAAGCACTTCAAATCCGCTATTCTCCAAACCTTGAGTGTCTTATCCCAAGAACCTGAATAAATCAACCCATTACAAACTGTCAAACAAGAAATACTATCAGCATGTTCAATCCACAACCTCTTATGATGCCTCCTAGTTCGCACATAATTACTTTGCTTCATAAACTTCCCTAGATAATCCTTAGTAGTAGGAAGTGTATCAACAAGCCTAAACACATTCTCCGAGCGTCTTGAAACCTTCCATACTCTAATCCTACTATCTTGATGAGCAGTAAACACTTTGTTTCCAACAGTTACGAGCGCTTTAATCGACCCATCACCTTGTCCAAACTTCGTAAACAGCCTCAAGTCAGGCTGTTGCCACACAATAATATCCTTCCCTTGTGAAGCACTCAAGATGAACTCCCCGCATAAAGCCAAGCAAGAAACCGAACCAACATGACCAGAAAGCACAGCCAACGAGCGATATGATTGAAACCCTGAAAAGGGTTTGCATGGAACACAAACCTCAACATCTTGCAACTGAAAACGCTGAGATACAAACCGGATATCATTATCATCAACCTCGCTGCTGCTACTGTTGCTGCTCATGCTCCTAGAACTCGTTGCAGAAGATGACAATAGAGGAGTTCCTAATGTCGCCATTGTACGAAAACCTGTTGGTTGTTATTTTTTCTTGAAAGAATAGTTGTTAGTAAAAAGAAAAGTAAAAGAGAACCAGGAGCGGTGTTGCTATAAAAGAACACGGGATTCCTGAGGAGAAGGGGAAAATAAATTTTTAAATATACATTGTGGGGATGGTGTAACGGCTACTTTGAAAATGTATGGAAGCTAGATCATGGAAAAGTAGTTTAATGGTGGGGACAAGACTAATGGCTCTTCGTCCTTTTTCTTATGAATAAATTAATGGCGTATCTGAGCTGTTGTTTGGCTGTGGAGTGCTGACCAATGATGAGACTTAAGCAGCATATTTATTTACATACGGACTGCCAAATGTTTTTAATTGGGTCCTCCCAGTTGGAGCATTTACGCAGACAGATTATATTCCTATATCAAATTGTATAGTCGTTAAGATATCTTCGCAATGCTTTTAATTAAGCACAAATGTGAATAATTTTAGGTCTACTTGCTTGATTAAACAAGTCTCTTTAAGAAAAATATCTACAAGGTAAATATGCAATTTAAAAACCTATAGTTTTAATATATATATATATATATATTTGTTAAAGAATAAATGAGCATAATTTTGGATATACTTGCTTGATTAAACAAGTCTCTTTAGGGTCTGCTTAGGAGTTTCATAGTAACAGTTAGGAGGGTAAACCACTGTAGCAATTTTGAGTGGTTTTTAGTAGATGTTTCTAAAACACTCAGTCTGTGCTTAGGAGTTTATTTTTTAGCTGTTCTAACAGTTTTTTTAAATAATAAATTTACATATATGGCCATAAAAATACCCTAACTTCAACCAATATTTGGGAGTTTTGTTTTTTCAATTATAAGGTAAGAGTTATTTATTTGTTTTCTACTTATTAGTATTTTATAACTTCAAATGTGATAAAGTCTCTTTATCTTTCTTGGCCATTCATTGCAGCATCTGGAATGATTGAAAAATTGTAGCTCTACTTCTCCAAGAAAGCATTTAGAAATGAGATTTTAATAATTTTTTTTTTATGATTTTAAAATTATTTTATATTTAATATGGTTGGAGACGCGTATAATATGGTTACCTTTTTTTTTTTTTTTTTGATATAATTGGGATAATTTTGTAGTGGATATGATATTTGTGGAATAAAATTTTAAAACCAACCAAAATACCCTAATTTGGGGTGTTTTATAAACCTCTCAAAAATACACTACACTGGTTTCTTGGGGTTTTTTGAGTCAGTCAAAACTAGTGCATAAAAAATCTAGTAAGTAATGGTTTTAGAACACCTCAAAATTAGTTTAATTAAAAACCCTCAAAAGTCAAAACCAGTGAAAAAAAAACTCCCAAACAGACCCTTAAGAAAAATATCTACAAAGCAAATATGGAATCTAAAAAACTAAAGTTTTATCCTAATATATAAATTTTTTAATATTTGGGTGATTTAAATTTTAAAGAATAAATGTGAAGAATTTTGGAAATACTTGCTTGATTAAACAAGTCTCTTTAAGAATAATATCTATAAAGTAAATATGCAATCTTAGAATCTAAAGTTTTATCCTAATATATATTTTTTTTAGGGAAAAAAAAAATTGAACTCACTAACTTAATGGAGGAGGGAGTCCAACCACATATATACATCATAATAGCCTACTGTAGACGTAAAAATCTACCTGTACGGAAGGGGGGTATGATCCCGTGAGGTTGAGGCCACTAGCGATCTGCTGCACCTGCACACGTAGAGAAACACACGCGTGAAGCGAACGGGAGACACCGGCGTGGTGTTTGCTGTAGTTACTCCGACGCTCAAGTCAGCAAGGCTGAGAGAGGCTAATATAGGGAGGGCTAGGGAGTAGAGATTACCGGAAGTCTAGTCGGGGACTGTGACTACGGCAGTGATGTAAAGCTCTCAAGTTAAAGCTTCGAGTGTGAAGGTGTAATGTAGTGTCTTTTGTGAGAGGGCTGACCTCTACTTATATAGTGACTGTCTGGTCTCCCAATCCTAGTAGAAGTAGGAGTCCTAGTATGACTCTGATGCAAACCCTAGAAGAATTAAGGCCGTGGTAAGCTGTCTTACCAGTGTCCGAATAGGAAGATGATTCTGATTAGGAGAGTAACTTCGAGTAGGAAAGTGATCAGGAATAGGAAGGTGACCTTGAATGAGAGATTGATCAGGAGTAGGAAAGTATTCTGAAGGGGCCGTGGGCTCTGGATTCGCCCATGGACCTAGGAAATGGACTGGGATTAGGAGGCTCGTGCCCACGTGGTTTGGGTCGGCTATATCTTGTACCGAATGGGCTTAATCCGGTTGGGTCATATCAGGATTGGGCCTGACTTCTTCTTCAGTGTCGGGCCCATTTTCCTATTTGGGCCAAGGACGATTTTTGGCCCTAACACCTACCAACTTAACGATGTGGGACAAATATAACTTCTAACGACGTACATCTAAAAATGTTTCATTTTAAGAAAAATTCATACCTTTTACTTTGAGAATTGTTATCAAAACTAGGGGTATGAAATTTTTTCGGGTAGAACCGGATCCGACAGGTACTTGGGATGTCGATTCCGATTCTGGTTCTGGTTCCAAATTTGGTGGAATCAGTCTGGTTTCAAATTTGTTGGAATCGATACTATGTGGTTTCGGTTCCACCACTTTGAGAACTAGAACCGGAACAAACAAGAAATCAAACAAAAACGCAAATCGCAAAACCTCCTATTCTTCTCTCAATCGGAAACCCAAAACAGTCGACAAACTCCCACAAATTTCCATAAGCAATCAGCTCCCACAATCAACACACAACAATCAACTCCAATAAACAATCTATCAACTCCCACAACCGACTCCAACAAACAAATTTCCATAAGATAGTTGCTCGAGCAATGGAGACGATTGCATACTCACAAATCGGGTGACAATCACAAAGGGTGAGGAGCGGCGAGGCTGAGAACATCGGCGGACCCAATCATGTGAACCAATCACGAGCACACAACACAAAACCCAAGAATGGTGTGAAGGGCGTAGATATTGGCCACACTTAATGGCCAACTTTGGTCAGTCGTCGGTTGACAAGAAATGCAGAGGGAGAATAGAAGAAACAGAAGAAGAGGGAGAGAAGAGAAGGGAAGAGAAACAAAATAGGCATAAGTTAATACAAAAGAGACAAGGTTTAAGGAGGAAGTGAATAGAAGGTGGAGAAATCGAAGAGAAAGAAGAGAAGAAACTTACTGAAGAAAGAGAGAAGAAAGTTTTGAAAAGAATGAGAAAATAAAAGAAAAGAGAAAGGAGGGAGAAAATTTAATAAAATATATAGTTTTACACGGTACATTTGTAATTTTTGTAAACTGACTGCAGGGTGTATTTATAATTTTTGTAAACAATTGGGGTGTTTATAGTTTTTATAAGGTATATTTGTCATTTTTGTGAATAGTAAGGGTGTATTATAATTGTCCCAAGCACCTGAAAGTCTGAAACCGACGGAACTCGTGTTTCAGCTTCCGGTTTCAAGCATTTAAGAACAAGAATCTACCAATTTTGGATCCAATCTTCCAAACATTCAGGAACTGGAACTGATCGGTTCCGGTTCCAAATCCCAGAAACTGGTTGGTTTCGATTTTGGTTCGATGGGATTAGGCTAAGTACATGGACCTGCCCACCCCTAATCAAAAATAGAGAATTGGTTTGGTGTTTAGTGGAAAGACTAAACCAGAAGCCAATCAAACATTACTCTGTTATTACAAGAGCAGGACAAGGCAAATAGATTAGTGCGAATCCAATAAAAACACTATCATCCTTAAAAATCTAGCATACCAATGTAAGTTACGAACGATTGTGACTTGTGGCCCGTTATTTAAACCTCCCACATTAGTTACTTGTAACTTCCCATCAGTAATTTTTGTAGTAATCACCTTTTATACATGGGTCATTAGTCTACAAGAAAGTCTGTGGATTCTCCATCGATACATGAAATAAGGTCTTGAATAGACTAGAATTAATCCCAATTGACAAGCGTCTCTCATGTTACTTGGAATTTTATTACTATGATTAGAGGTATGTTCTTAGGCTTCCACTTTGAATCCATTGAAATAGATAATATATTGCTTACAACCAAATCTTTGTTTCCAGCCATTTCAACCTCTCCCTAAATAATGCCAAAATTAAAGTACTTTCTACTGTCAGAATATTTTGTCCTTTCATAAATAATCTGCCAACCTTCTAAACAGGAGACCTCACTTAACTTAATCACTAATTATCTTCACTAATAAACTTGGAGGGTGTTTGTCCACCTTGAAGCTTAAGTTAACATTACTTTATAGACCACCAGCTTGGATGGTGATTATTTTATTACTACAGTTTTTTAATTACAGATTTGAATGCTTTTCCTGTAAACTAAAGTAGCCGGTTACAACAAGAACAAAGGAAACACTAATTAATTAATTAGTTAAAAGATGTATGATCATTGGAAGAATGTCAAGCATGCAATTAATTAAAGACTTTCTTCCATTTCCCCCATAGGTTTCATCAACTAACAATTCCCCCCCTCCAATATCTAAAAGAACATTTTATCCCTTCTGGTTAACGTTTCGTGTTTAATGTGAATGTGTTAGTTAGATGAGATAAAACCTAACGACGAAGGATACATTACTATATTTCTCATATTTTGGGGGAAAATTTTATTCAATAGAATTAATTATAAACTCTTAATTAAATTAAGAGAATAAAGACGGGTTTTGGTTATAGAGAAAATAAAGGTATAGACTATTGTAAGCGGTGGACTTCCACCAATTTGACATATGATACATGCAAGTCCACTTGAAGACATATAAATTATAATTTGTTATCAGATAATTGGTTTTATGAGACTATAAATTGAGCACATTTAGTCCATTTTATTCACAACTCAAATGAGAGAAAGAGTTAATAAAACCGTCTCATGAGAGAAAGAGTTAATAAAACCGTCTCATTATAACCCTCTTTATCCTGCTCTTTTACTTTTCAGGTCCTATTAGTTTATTTTATTGCGATTACACCACTAAAATTATAAGATAGACATAAAAATGACAAAATATTAACACAATTATTAATTCCTTCGAATAGTAGGTGGGTTTGGTGTGTGTGGATAATTTTTTTTAAGTATTTAATAAGGCGTGTGTATACATACATAAAATGCTGACCATTTTCATGTTAAATGTCATCGCTTGAAGAGAACACCACAAATGGACCACCAAACGAATTGAAATACGACCTTCCAGAAGTGGGACAATGCAATTAATTATTTATATTTTATATGACCATACTACATCAATCAATTTAGGTTACAAATTTATAAGATAAAGTTTGTATGTATAACATAATTAGTCTTTACAAATATTTTCTTAAAAGCTTTTATGTTTGACAAAATGGCCATTTAACAGTAATAATAGCTATGGGTGCGTTTGGTTTAGTATTTTGGATAGGATTTTAAGGGTAGTATTGGGTTATTGGATATGGGAGTATTACGAGGTAAATTTTAAAAATTTATAAAAAAGCCCTTAGGTTTACTAATTTAACTAAAGACCCTAACATGTAAAATGACAAAAACACCCCCACCACTGCAGTGTCAGATTCCGGCCACCACCGCCGGAATCTGACCGAAAAATTTCGTTACGGCACAGACTTGTCGGATCTGTGCCGTAACACATCGTTATGGCCTTTTCCGGCTAGATCCATGGTAGATCTGGCCGGAAAAGGCCAGATCTATGGTTTGTTTTGGCCGTCGACGGCCGGAAAAGGCCAAACGACGGCCATCTTTGGCCGTCAGCGACGGCCAAAGATGTGGCCGTCGTTTTCGATCGACGACGGCCAAGATTTGGCCGTCGTTGACCGTCAACGACGGCCATTTCTTTGGCCGTCGCTGACGGCCAGATCTGGCCTTTTCCGGCCAGATCCGTTGTGGATCTGGCCGGAAAAGGCCACAGCGGTGAACTTCCGGCCATTTCTGGTCGGAAGTTTGGCCGTTGTACAGATTCCGGCTATCACCGACGGTGGTTGCCGGAATCTGACAAGTTGGGTTGATGGGGGTGTTTTTGTTAATTTTAAACTTTTTTTTCAGGGGGTATTTAGTGAAATTAATAACCTTATGGGGTTAAAATGTAATTAAAAAAAATAGGGTAATATTTTGAGAATATTGTACCAAACGCGATTTGAAAAATAGGATCCAGAATAGGGATAAAAATATTAAACCAAACGCATACTATATGACTTACTGAGTTAGGTACCGTATCGTGTTGTGGTTTAGACACAATTAAGTTTCATACTATCATATCAATACGTGATATTGTTTTACCAACTGAAACAAATATATATAGAGTTTTATGGGTTCTGTGAATAGTTTTCTTTTAAGTCTTAGAGACAGGCTTGCATCCAGATAGAAAATCAACAATGTCATACAACTTTGCCCATGTTGTCATGCTGGGTATATGTTTTTTTTTTTTTTTTGTGATCAAGGATGGCCGAGCCAGTTTTCGTGCACCTCAATTAATCCTTAGAGACTCTGAAGTTAATGATCGGATAAACCCTTAAGTGATTACCTCTATTAATAATCGAGAGATAATTGAACTCAAGACCTATTAAGTTATAGGTCCAAGAGTATCTATTGGCCCACCTAGCTACCCAAGGGTGTTTATGTTTTTCTATTTTGTGAAAGACTTTTGGGCTTCGTTTGGTTCACATATTGGGAAAACTTTTATAGTTTTCCCAAAAAAGTTAACTTTATTTCACCTATTTTGAAAATAGTTTTCTAAATTATTCAACTTCCGTTAATCGCCAATGTAGCATTTTCCGGTCAGATCCACATTGGATCTGGCAGGAAAAGGCCAGATCTATGGCCAAAGATTTGGCTGTCAACGGCCAGATCTTTGGCCTTAGACAATTGTCAACAACGGCCAAGATATGGTCGTCGTTGACCATCAATGACGGCCGTATCTTTGACCATCGTTGACCACCAAATGCGGCCAGATCTGGCAGTTAATGGCCAGATCTAGTCGCAGATCTGGCTTTTTACGGCTAGATCCAAGGTGGATCTGGTCGGAAAAGGCCATATCAGCGTACGACCGGTAATATCGTGTCGGTTATAAGCCAATACGGCAACTCCAGCCATCCTCTGACGGTGGTGGTCGACTGTCTGTGTTCTTGGGGGTGGATTGTTAATTTTGAACATTTTATTTAGGGCTGTTTAGTAAATATATAAATATAGGGAATATTTAGATTAATTTTTAAAATTCTACATTATAATACCTATCAAATTTAACTTTTTTCAAAAGATTATTCTAAAACTACCCAAACCAAACGTAGCCTTGACCCTTCTACCATTGTATTTGCCTATAAATAAAGCGCAATCCTCCTCAGTTTCTGAGGAGGAAATTTGCCCAAAAGTAATAATAGCATTGGTCAATTTGGACGGTGGAGACAATGACGGTAATTGGACCGTTAGGATTAGGTCGGTGGAGAATCACAGAATTGGGCCAATTAACAGTGCCGGTTTGGATGAGCAACATTGATGGGCCTAGAATATTGGGCCCAGGCTAAAAAAAGAGCTGAAGGCTCCAAAGTTCGTAACAGGGTTCAGGCCTTCAGGGTTGGTCACAATTTTAAATCCACAGGAAGTACCTGGCGCGATTTTACACTCTTTCACTCTCTCAAACCGCTATTCAAAATCCCTAACTAACATCTGATCAATCACAAACCATTACGAGATTTTAATGAGGCGCGTAGTGTGCCCAGAAAATGAAGGGTTGGCGAGTTACATGTTTCAGAAGTGGCAAGAAATGGCGGAGAAGCCGAAAGGATTATCCGAGAATATGGATATGACTCTGTTTAAGGCGTATAACAATGTGTGCAATGCAAAGAATCACATCAAGACTCTTAAGGACTTGTCTCAACTCAAGTATGCGTTCTTTTGATTTTTTTTTTTTTTTTTTTTTTTTTTTAAATGTTCAACTGAAGCGTACTATTAGCTATGTTTTAGTTACAAGTAGCAATGCTCAATTGAAGGGGAAAATATAAAATGCTCAATTGAAGTCTCAAAGACTTGAATCAAGTACTTTTGCGTCCAAAATTGTTTCTGTTTGTGTTGGTTGATATACGTGAGAATGAAGATTGGGGAGATAAGACTATGCGGGTTAGGATTTACTGTAGAATGTTGTGATCTTGTTATTGTGTGGTAATGTATTATTCTGATTGGTTTCCTTAAAAGCGTGGGAAATGGAGAGATGCTGAAGTTGAGTTGAGTTTTGACTTGTTTATGTGTCGAAATAATCTGGAGTTTTTATATTAACTTCTGCTTGAATTATTTGTGGTATAGGGGTGTGGGAAAGTGGATTCTGAAGCTTGTGCAAGGATTCTTTGATGCTGGTTCTGTTAGTTCTGAACCAGAAGAGTTGACTGAAAAGGGTAAGCTACTATGTCTTTTGCTATAGTTATTCTTATGGAGTTTTACATGTTGATCTTCTTATTCAATTCTCATTTTGATCATTTAGGTAAAACAAGTAAAGCAACTAAGAATAAAGGAACCAAACGTTATGTGCCGCAAAGGAATTCTGTGGCATATGCATTGTTGATTACCTTACACAGGTGAACTGCATATCGTTTTCCTTTGTTGCACGCTTTTTGCCCAACTGGGATGAACTGTGTACTGAAATAATTTTTTTGTAAGGGGTACTGCAAATGGGAATGAATTTATGCGTAAACAGGATCTTATTGATGCAGCTGAAGCAAGTGGTCTTTCTCGGGTGCCAATTATGTATGTTAATTCATTTGATTTCTTAGTTTGATCCTCCATTGGTCAAAGTGGATATGGAGGTAAATTGATATTCGTGAAACTGCATTTATATGTACTTAGGCCAGAGAAGGGAAAGGGGATTCCTGGGCAATTTGGAAGTTCTCCGAGGGACTGGTATAGTGGATGGAGTTGCATGAAAACCTTGATAACCAAAGGACTAGTTGTGAAATCGAGTTGCCCAGCAAAGTAAGTCTTCTTCATCTTCACTGTGTCACTTTTATTGAGATTGTTAAACTTGAATTAGTAGAGTTTCAGTGTTTGGGTATTCAAAGAAAATAATGAAAGAATTCAGTCTTTATAGTGATTTTAGTAACAGATGACATCAGCCTTGGGTGTATTTGTTTGGGTTTGTTGTAATTCCTTTAAAGTGAGAAGAAATAACATGTTAATTGGGTTGATAGAGCAATTTGGTTAATGGAATTATTGATTGGCAATTGGATTTCAGAAAATCATTATAATTCTTTTTTGACTATATCCAACCAATTCAAATAACTCATTTTCTATTGTTTGAATGGGTTTCCTGCCGACCTTATTTATGATTGAATCTTAAGGTTACCATTTTGCATATTTTTGGTAATATGGAAATTACTTTCATGATAGTTTCCTGGCTGTTATCACTAGATGTGTGAGTCATTCTCTACTTACGTGAAGTTCAAATGTTTTTAAGCTAGAAAGTTGACGTTTAAATTTGATTATAGTCTTGAGTGTATTATAGTCTTGAGAGTGGAGTTGGTTTATTTGGTTAAAGTTGAATGCTTGAAAAATTGTAGTCGATGTCTTCCATATGAAAGAATGAGCCTCTGTGTTTCTTTAGGTACATGCTGACTCAGGAAGGGCATGATGCAGCACGTGAATGTCTCACGAGATCTGGTTTGACAGATTCCACGGATATCTTGCTAGTTGAACGGGATTCTCATCTGGATGCATGCAAGGCACCAGATCTGGAGTTTGCTCACTCAGATTCTTCTGAAGAGGTGACATTGCAATCTGTCAGTTTGAGTTGGCTGAACAAATCAGTAGATGTTCCACATGCATCTCTTGAGAGGGTTTGTTTCCAACTAGTTCTTATAATTATAACATGTTCTGCCAACCCATCTCTTGAGAGGGTTTTTTTCCAACTAGTTCTTATAATTATAACATGGTCTGCCAACCCACATTTTTTCAGTCTGGGCACCAACTTAGATTAGTTTGTTTTTCATTTGCAGCATCATAATTTTTGTTCACTGATGAAAAATTTATAGCTCATGATGCCTAGGTGTCATTTCTGTCCAATCTTGGTATTATGTTTCATGGATGTAACAGTTGTCCCCTTTTCTTCCTCTTTCTTATGTTGAAGTTTGTCTGATTTAGATTTCTCTCTGGGCAGTTTACACGCATGGGGTATTCCAAGGAACAAGTGCTTCATGCTTTTGATGAAGAACACAAAACTTCCCCACTCAAGGAAATCTCATCACTCTGGCCTGCAGTTTTATGTCGTCTGCGAGAAGATCAAGTGCATGGTTTGCATCCGAATCCTCAGAATTTAAGAGAAGATCGCCATGTAGCATCAACAACTTGTGCATTCACAAACAGTAATGGGCTTAATATGTTGAATGTTAATGAAATTGAAGTTATCCATTTGCTCTTGTTAGAAATCTGAACATTTTCCTCTAAATGAACTCTTTTTCATGCCAGGTCGAGAAGATGTTGTTAGAAGTCAAAGTACTCAGATTGATTCTGCTTGTGATGGTGGAAATATGCACAATTTATCTGCTGAATCTGCGCCAAAAATCTTTACCTTGAAAGCTTGCTCCTCTTTTGTATGTGTGCATATTGGTGACTTCAATGAGTACTACATTGTGCATTGTGAAAATCTTGCATATATGTCGCAGGAATATATGATGGTTATTTAAGCATTGTGATTGGACACATGGCATGGTATAATTAGAGGACGATCTTCTTTCATGAGCAATGTTTGCATGTATTCTTTTTGCAATATTGTTGATATTTTTTTTAAGAAATGGTCAAAATATTTTGAACTCCAAGCAGTTGGAATTGATGTTTTGTTGAGCTCAGTTGAGTCCAGGGAAATAGTTTGATCATTTGTTTGTATGAATAAATTTATGAATTATCTATAGCAGTGTTGATTATTCAACTGAATTTATTAGGATTATTGCGGGCAGAATTCTCAGATAGATGGTCTGCAAACAAATATGAACGTTTTAAGTATGCCACCTCTGAGTTTTGGGGAAAGATTTGAGGATGCATATGAAGTAATCTTAATCTTAGATGATCGAGAGCAATTTGCCACTCAAGGGTTAGTAACTTCTTACTTCAGCTCTTCCTACACAACTTTTTGAGAAGGCAGTGGAGGATATCTGCTGTGCTGTTGAATACAATTCTTGCTTTGCAAGAACTAATTACTTATTCTTGGGTTGCAAGAATTCATTTTTCTTTTATTAATAGTTTATTTTTTGTGATTATCTCTTAAGACTGGAATTGAGTATTTATCAATTTATTAATGGATAGATTGTAGAAATAATAAATTTGAAAAATCCTTTTCTTAATTATAACTCAAAGCTATTTTACATGATTTTATGTTCAAATAATAAAATAAGGAAGTTTAAGTAGTCAAAATTGATTACAGAAGTTTATGGAGGAGATGTTATCATGCTCCTGCAATATGTAGGAAATTGCACTTTTAGTTATTTCTTGCTGATGTTTGCCACAAATTACAATTTTGATCAATGAATATACTTTCTGGTTTATAGGTCTCGTTCCACAAGAATAATTGAAAATATTTGCTCTCAATTCAAGATCCGAATAGAGGTAAGGTCTTATGAGTCTTCTGTGTATTGTTTATCCTGAAAACTTTATTGCATCATGATGGATAATGTAGGGTGCATTCTTTTATAAACTTNTGGTCTGCCAACCCACATTTTTTCAGTCTGGGCACCAACTTAGATTAGTTTGTTTTTCATTTGCAGCATCATAATTTTTGTTCACTGATGAAAAATTTATAGCTCATGATGCCTAGGTGTCATTTCTGTCCAATCTTGGTACTATGTTTCATGGATGTAACAGTTGTCCCCTTTTCTTCCTCTTTCTTATGTTGAAGTTTGTCTGATTTAGATTTCTCTCTGGGCAGTTTACACGCATGGGGTATTCCAAGGAACAAGTGCTTCATGCTTTTGATGAAGAACACAAAACTTCCCCACTCAAGGAAATCTCATCACTATGGCCTGCAGTTTTATGTCGTCTGCGAGAAGATCAAGTGTATGGTTTGCATCCGAATCCTCAGAATTTAAGAGAAGATCGCCATGTAGCATCAACAACTTGTGCATTCACAAACAGTAATGGGCTTAATATGTTGAATGTTAATGAAATTGAAGTTATCCATTTGCTCTTGTTAGAAATCTGAACATTTTCCTCTAAATGAACTCTTTTTCATGCCAGGTCGAGAAGATGTTGTTAGAAGTCAAAGTACTCAGATTGATTCTGCTTGTGATGGTGGAAATATGCACAATTTATCTGCTGAATCTGCGCCAAAAATGTTTACCTTGAAAGCTTGCTCCTCTTTTGTATGTGTGCATATTGGTGACTTCAATGAGTACTACATTGTGCATTGTGAAAATCTTGCATATATGTCACAGGAATATATGATGGTTATTTAAGCATTGTGATTGGACACATGGCATGGTATAATTAGAGGATGATCTTCTTTCATGAGCAATGTTTGCATGTATTCTTTTTGCAATATTGTTGATATTTTTTTTAAGAAATGGTCAAAATATTTTGAACTCCAAGCAGTTGGAATTGATGTTTTGTTGAGCTCAGTTGAGTCCAGGGAAATAGTTTGATCATTTGTTTGTATGAATAAATTTATGAATTATCTATAGCAGTGTTGATTATTCAACTGAATTTATTAGGATTATTGCGGGCAGAATTCTCAGATAGATGGTCTGCTAACAAATATGAACGTTTTAAGTATGCCACCTCTGAGTTTTGGGGAAAGATTTGAGGATGCATATGAAGTAATCTTAATCTTAGATGATCGAGAGCAATTTGCCACTCAAGGGTTAGTAACTTCTTACTTCAGCTCTTCCTACACAACTTTTTGAGAAGGCAGTGGAGGATATCTGCTGTGCTGTTGAATACAATTCTTGCTTTGCTAGAACTAATTACTTATTCTTGGGTTGCAAGAATTCATTTTTCTTTTATTAATAGTTTATTTTTTGTGATTATCTCTTAAGACTGGAATTGAGTATTTATCAATTTATTAATGGATAGATTGTAGAAATAATAAATTTGAAAAATCCTTTTCTTAATTTATAACTCAAAGCTATTTTACATGATTTTATGTTCAAATAATAAAATAAGGAAGTTTAAGTAGTGAAAATTGATTACAGAAGTTTATGGAGGAGATGTTATCATGCTCCTGCAATATGTAGGAAATTGCACTTTTAGTTATTTCTTGCTGATGTTTGCCACAAATTACAATTTTGATCAATGAATATACTTTCTGGTTTATAGGTCTCGTTCCACAAGAATAATTGAAAATATTTGCTCTCAATTCAAGATCCGAATAGAGGTAAGGTCTTATGAGTCTTCTGTGTATTGTTTATCCTGAAAACTTTATTGCATCATGATGGATAATGTAGGGTGCATTCTTTTATAAACTTTATGTTTATGTTTTTTGTATTTTTGAGAATATTGAAAATGATGGGAAAATGCGAAAAGTGAAAACGCGTTCGGTATGTCTGTTTGTATTTGAAAACGTGAAAAATAAAAACACGTTCTGCATGTTTGTCTGAAAACGCAAAAAAAGAAATGAAAAATATGAAAGTTATCACCTATACAACCGATTAAAACCCCTTCAAAGTACCACTTTATTCTGTTCGTCTCAAAGAGCTCGTCTCAAATATGTCAATCTTTTATTTCCATTTTGCAATTGCTTGATAAAAATATTGATTTGAAGCAAAGTTTTTCTTTTATGAGAGAGGCGAGAGAATATAAAAAGAATTTTTTATTACTTTATTTGGAAGAGATGCTTCCCATTCAATCTGCAACCCCTGTTTTCTCTCTTGTTTTCAATTTGAGGTTGTGGAAAATTGTAAATGATAAAAAATCTTACATTTTTCAAGGCATGAAAAATGAAAATAATTTGCATAGTTTATAAATGAACACTGCTGTACTTTTTGGAAGCTTAATGTCTAGAGATTGATTGGTTTGGGCCGCACTTTGGTACCAATGTCATTGTTGTATGTATTTGGCTTATTCTTATAGTAGGCCTCATTATATCATAGCCCGGTTTTTTCTTGATCTTTGTTTAATAATCAGTTAGGTGGAATTCTGAATGTTCTGTCATCTTCTGGTATCCACATGATATAATCAATGTTATTTTACATGATTACTATTCAGGTTAGGCGGCTACCAGTAGGTGACGGAATCTGGATTGCTCGTCATAAACAATTTGACACTGAGTATGTTCTGGATTTTATTGTTGAGAGGAAGAAAGTTGATGATTTGTGCTCTTCAATCAGGGATAATCGCTATAGGGATCAGAAACTGAGGCTCCTGGTACTGATTCTTATTCAAATAACTCAATCATTTCTTTCGTTGTTTCTAATTTCTGGAGTTATTATATGTCCTTTGTCATTTTAATCAGAGCATCAAGCCATATTGTCATCTTATAGGAATTATTAGCTAAATCTATACTAATGTTGCAATTATTTTGTCATAATTCATCTTCTACTTATTAATTCTTTGTACTGTATTATGTAATCATGATGTTTCATTTTTGTGTGTTAAATTGCATGTAAGAGATGTGGACTTAATAAGCTGATATACCTTGTGGAAGGTGACCCAAATTTTTCTGAAGCCTCTGAAAGCATCAAAACAGCGTAAGTTTCTTTTGATAATTTTTTTGTTGTTGTCTATAGTGAGTTGAAATATTACATTATGTGTGCAATTGTTGTTTATGGTATTTTTGATAGATTCCCCTGCAATACTTTTGGAAGGTGTAGTAACGCTATTGAATGTAATTTTTCTAGATGATAATGACCTACAGAAGCCTTTTGGAATCTTGTTTCTCTCCATCTTCCCTGCATGTAGATATCAGCTGATGTTAATTTGTTTAGTCGCTGGGATGCAACAAATATCAAGAAAAATGTATCGTATTTTATTTAAAGACAGCTTTCAATTTGCAATGCTTTTACATTGGCTTGCATCTTACTGAGCTACTAATAGTTCCAAAATCTGCAGTTATGTACTTTTTGGTTACTAGCTGGAAGTTGTTAATTGTGTACGCTTGTCTTTGATTGTTATGTTTAAGCTGTTGTCAATGCTTTTCAATCTAGAGTCTTGGGATTTTTTAAAGCCCATTTTTCAATATCACTGTTTATTTTGGCTGCCATATTTTTTAAATTGAACATCATCCAACTTTAATAGTATTCATATCATATGAGATGCAGTTGTTTTACGACAGAGATCTTGGAAGGATTTGATGTTCAGAGAACTAGTGGTTTAGCTGATACACTGAGGAAGTATGGATATCTTACGCAATCAATAACTCAATTTTATAAATTAGAGCTACCTGATGACCAGCTTAAGTGCGCTGGGATCTGTCCTACTTTCAATGAATTTATCAAAAGATGCCAAGACCTGGATAAAATGACAGTCAGTGATGTATTTGCCACTCAGCTTATGCAGGTAATGACTGTTCTTGTAAGAAGGGTAGACTCATGCCTATTCTATTGCAGTGTTAAAACTTATGAAGTTGAATTAACCATTTGTTATGGCCCTCTTATTTAACAAAGGAGCTCGGACTTAATGAGAACTTTTGTCCTCATGCTTATAAAACAAGCATTGAGCTTGAATTGTCCACTTATGGCTGCATACAAGCAAGGGAAAAACTTTTTCACTTTTAACTCTAGAATTATTATTAATTGTTACTGTCCTTGCATTCTAATCTACTCTGAATTTGTTCTTTTCTTTGTTACCGGGCTTACTAGTATATTATTGGTTTCAAAAGTACAAGATTTGAATTTATTGGTGAATATGTCGTTTTACACCCTGGATGCAGACTTCGGTTGACGTATCCACGACCCTGGATTATTATAATCATGGTATTCTTTTGACAATTGGTACAAAAATTCGCATGCTAACTTTTGAAAATAATGAGTGTAGGTTCCACAAGTAACGGAGGATATTGCCATAGCTGCTCTGGATTTGTACCCAACTCTACTATCTCTCGCTCGTGCTTACTCTCTTCTTGTGAGTCCTTATTTCCTTATCAGAAACCACCTTTTTTTTCTCTGTCTTGATATTCTTATTCTTATATACATACTCCGGTCAATTATTTGCATCATCCCAAAAGGAAGGTGATGTTCGCGCACAAGAGGAGATGCTTATGCAGAAGAGTAACAATGTGGTCAGTGCAGCTGCCAGTAGGAATATTTTCCAGTTGGTTTGGGGCAATTGACTACTGTGGGTCTCCTACGGCCAAAAAACCAAGTTGCAGGTCATGAAGCTCGATTTTTGCAGGAGCAAAAGCCATCTGCATCTTTGTTATGGATGCTTGACGTTCAGTGGCAAGAAGATGGATAGCTTTGTATATGTACTTTTGCAGAGCATTTGACGTGGAGCAGCAATTTTTGTATGTATTCCACTAGTTCAAAACTGGCCATGTTTTACAAAAAATGTGCATATGGTAATTACAGCAATCGATATAACTTATTTTAACTGTATAATTGAGTTCAACCCTTTTACTTGGATTCGCGTCTTTAATATTGTATGTTGAGTGAACGACATTTTCCCACCTAAGGTTTGGCTGAATTACACTTTTCCATTCGAAAAGTTTCAAAATGATATTTTCCCACTCATCGTTAAGATCTGTTAGTAAAATCGGTTAACTGACATAGTATAAACACTTAAAGACAAAAATACCCTTCTCTATTCTTCTTCTCTTCCGACACCTCTCTGCTCCTCTTTTCTTCTTCTTCACTTTTCTTATTTCTTCTCCTCTCTTTTTCTCCTCCTCTTTCTCTCCTCCTCCAACACCAACGCCACCACTAATAACACCCAGATCTGATACGATTGGCTTGATATGGTTGGAATCGCACTCGGCCAGGTGCAATTCGGATCGGGTCGCACTTACACACTAAAATCTGCAGAGCCAGATGCCGCATTTAAAGCACATTATTATCCAGGCAACATCTCCACATTGTGCTTTTATGTCCTTCAAATGTACCAACCCAATCCCCAGTCTCCCCATTTCTCAACATTGGACTAGAATCTAATTTAAAAGAACATCATTATAAGTCAAAAACTAGTTACCAAACAATCTTACAAACTGCAAAAACCATTCATAATCCTCTATAGCATCATTTCTCATAAACAAATTCACTTAAGTAACAGCACAATCTTGAACCATCACTTATAAATTTCTAATTAAAAAAAAATTAAAAACAAACAAAAATTCAAAGCAAACCCAAATCAGAACAAGTCGAGACTAAACAATGACAATTCAAACGAGGTGGCGAAGGAGAAAGAAGAAAAGAGAAGAAGAGAGAAGCGTATTTTTATCTTTACACTATTTATACTATGTCAGTTAACAAATTTTATTAACAGATCTTAACGATAGGTGAAAAAGTGTCGTTTTTGAAACTTTTCAGTGTCGTTTGGCCAAACCTTGGATGGGAAATTGTCGTTTACTCTTGTATGTTATTACTAATTTTATATAATCATTTTATGGTACAGATATTTTGAATTTTGTAATGTGCGAATTAAAGGTTGGTGACTAGTAGTTGGTTCAACAAAATGCAAGAAGCAAACCCAGCGATTAGTCAGTAACCCTTTTTCCGTATGCTAAAAATTTTAGGATTCATAAATTTTTAATCCTCCAAGGTCTGACATAAAATTTGCATTATAATTTATTGAGTATTAACAGAGAGATTACATGATGTCTATGGATGGAGTTCCTGTAAATCCCATCTCTTCCACTTTTTATCTGTATATTCATCTATCTATTTAATTTATCTCTTAATAATTCGGAAACTATCTCCAACTTTTCTTGTTTCTGCATCTACAAACTGCAACAGTGAAGAAAATCAGTAGGGTGAAGTCAAATAAGAGGAAAATCTTAGAAATAACAGTTATCAGTACAGACCTCTAATTTCATCTCTTCCTTTGTAGCATGACCTCTTAGGTACCCGAATTTCGATATCCTTGACAAACTCCAGATCTCCTGTCAATGAACATATAAAATAACAAGATCACCTTTATCAATAAAAGGAGCTAAAATTTCATATATGATGAATGTATGGGAAATGGGAATGGGAGTGGGAAGAAAGAAATGTAATTACATTGTTTGTGAACTTGTCCAATTTGAAGCCTGCCATGCCAATTACAGCTTGTACTGGTGCTTTGTAATTACTATGATCGTATGTGTCTGTCCCGTTTGCATCTTTTGTAGGCATGGCGAGGCAAATACTTTGAAAAACTGAGCAGGTTCTCTCATAATTATGAACATGGCCGAAGAGCACCAGATCAACCTGTTTCATTTTACCAAATAATACTATCAGCAATCAAACAAAGCAAATATTTGATGAAAGTAAAATACTGCTGGATATAAAAAGCTGACCTTGCTTTGAAGAAGTAATGGTTCCACCTCATGAACAAAGAACTTATCCACATTCAGCAGTCCACCAGAAGAAGAATACATTGGCCTGTGCCTGCATTTTGCAAATGTTTCACTTAACTACTGTTCATTGAAAACTAAAATCAGCTGTGTAATGTAAAATCCGACCTACTTACCCTGTAAAAATTAACCAGGGGGTTTTTGATCGATCGACCGAAGCCATATCCTTTTTCATCCATTGATACTGAAGCAATATGGTGTTGCACTTCCATGAATGAGTGTAAAAACTCAATAATAATAGATGAGAGAAGTAGTGATTGTGTATATTAAATTTGAGTACCTGTTCAGAATTGAGTGACCAATCATGCTCAGTTGATATCACTGTGAAGTGAACAGGACCTTGTTCAATGGAATACCATGGCTTATCCTTTTCTGGAGTTGGCATTGGAAAATATGTCTCATAAGGAACTCCACATTCTCCGCCTGAATCAGGAGTAATGTACACTGATCCTGAGTCTATGTAATCCCTGAAAAATGTTTGGGACAACAAAGATCATAATTTAAGGAATTTGCAAATTGAATATTCTTCAGTAATAGAACAATTAAAGATACCTCTCATGGTTTCCAATTGCAGTCATGTAAGGAACTCTTGAAGCCACAGGGCTTATGAGATGGAGGAAATAGTCCCATTCCACCAAGAAGCCTGTTGCATAGCTTATGTCTCCAATGTGGAAGATCGAGTCTACATTGCCATTATCTATTTCTTCAGCCATGGCTTTTATCACTGAGAGAGATCCTGGCTATATGTGCATTTCATCTAATTAAAATTTCTCGGATAAAGACCTTAAGTCCGGACTGAAAATGCGGATTAACAGAACTTTTAACTACTGCCAACAACCAACTCTAAAACCAACTCTAAAACCAACCTGTATGTAGTGTTCAGTAGAAGCATCACGAGGAGCTTTTCCCATATCACCATATGCAAGAAACTTGAGTTCATTTGATCCTCCAGCAGGTGGAGTCCGGAACTTGATTTGCTTACTCCAACCAACTGATTTACTGCATCATCAACAAACGGATCATTGCTCCATTCATGAGCTCTAGAATTAATTAATAATATTCAGAATATGTATTACCTTCCATATCTGTAGGAGAAGGTAGATGAAGGCTGAAGCCCTGTCATGACTGCTGAATGAATAAATCCAGGATCATGCCACCCAAAATCCTTGGCTGGACTTGGCAAAACGGAGCCTATATATCAATTTCACAACAACCACATTCTCTTTAATTGGCAAAATGGATTGGTGGCTAGTAATGAGTTCATAAATAAAGAATGCATACATTTCTCTATGATGAGGCAGGCAAAACTTTGAATCAAGTTATGGAAAAATAGTAGAAAACAGTGGCAATATTATATGGCAAGACTAATCGAGGAACTCACTACACATATTATCTTGTGTAAATGTAGAAACTTGTGATGTCAGTGTTTTTCCATCTCCGTATTCTACTTGTTGAGGTTCTTTATCCCCACTAACCCATCTTAATTTTATCTGCAGATTTTGAAAACAGTCATCCATGATAGTACATAGCTTTTTCAGCATTTTCACTATAAATTGATAGATTGTATGTTAAATATATAAATCAGTACGTCCGCATGTGAGAAGTTTTTAAGAATATTAACACAAATACAGTATAAATGCGTGGCTGCTTACCGACGTTCCGGTGGAATCAATGGTGGAGAGATGTCCATGTAAAGGGGCTTTAGGATCAGCGAAACTGAGAGGAGAAGTTCTACTCAAAATGCAAGGTATATCGAAGCCACCGGCAAACAACACAAATTCAATGTCAGTTCTGATGTTAATGACATGAAATGTTATTGCACCACTGCAACCACTAATCTCACATGTCCCTTCATTGTTATATTTCATGCATTCCTTCTTCTTGCAACTTAGATAATCTGGATCATTGCTCATCCACTGTGCCTGCATATATCCAAACTCATATTAATTTTTTTACCACTTTTTCTATTCCTTTTAACTATAACATTCATGGAACATAGATATATCATATATATGAGGTGACATGTCGTTTCACCATTTTTGGATACTCCTCCTATTATGTAATATATTACTGATACGTTCAGCTAACATACATTCATAAACAGTAATAAACATGTGGAATGAAGGCTTGGTGGGCTAACAAAATTCCATCAATCAATCTGTTACATTTAACATGTTGTGTATACTCTAAATGAAACCTACATTTACACGTCAAATAAAACATAAAAGTAGACTAAAGATAATGTTCCTCCATAATATTCTACTAGCCAGCATAAATTTATGAATATTAGGCACAGCGTATGGGCAATGTCACTTCCATCTTAAATCATATATACATAGGACAGCGTCCTTGGAAATCATAAGCAGTTTGGGTTAATACCATGAATAACCACGGTAGAATTCTTCAAAGAATACAACTCCTAATAGAGTTTGAGTTAATACCATGAATAACCGCTGTAGAATTCTTTAAAGAATACAACTCCTAATAGAGTTTGGCTTAAGAATAGGAATCCTAGTAGTTTAAGGTTTCTCTTCATAGACTTAGTATATAAATAAATTCATTGTAATGAGAGAAGTGAAGAAACATTACAATAATATTGATTTTACAGGACACAGACGTAACCCCATCTGCGTCCGGTTTATAATTTATTTTCTTCCAAACTCTCTTTAGTTATTTCATTAAAGTCACCTAATTTCTCTTCCACAAAACGTTGCTCTCTTTCTGTCTAATCAATTTCTATGAACATTAACGTAATTTTCACATGCTTAAACTGTTTTAAATTAATTTCTTAATCAATATCATGCAATAAAGGAAATGTACTGCATGCAAAACAGTGAATGTGTTTCTTTAATGATATCAAGTTTAATTGCATTACCTTAACGGGATAATGGCATAGAAGAGGAAGATTGCTAAGATCACCAGTTTGTGCATAAAGAAAACCATTCAAGAGACATCCTGCAACACTGCAACAAATCAAACTAATGAAATTAGAAAAAAGCTTGTTTGATAGTTTGTATGTTCCTCTGTCCAATCACGTCGTTGTGTATCATCTTAATTGTTGCAGATTATATACCGAAAACTTTTCATAAAATACGATTCTTACTCAGAATGAGAAGGTGAGATCATGGCAACCCAGTGACCCTTGGACGGACGCAAAACGCCACTAACAGTTACTGTGACAAATTCTTCATCAGAAAGCATATTGGAACCTGAACTAACATTAATACGGAGAAAAGGGTTCTTGACAGGACAATCCAATAAAGCTCTTCTATTCACTACTCTAAACTTTGATATTGCTGTGTAATTCCGGTGTTGAATTGTTGAGTTGACGATCAAAGAATCCAGCGGCAGTGACCAAGAACAACCAAAAAAGAAAAAAATAAAAACAAACAAAAGGAAAGAGAATTTCAAAGGCTTCATTGGAGGGAAGAAGGAACAAAGGCTAATTCTTCCACACATGTCCAGGATACAGACAAAACAAAGTTGAGAGATTGGTGGGTCGTCGGTTTTGATTGTGTTGCGGCTTAAGATTTGTTTGGTTTATGTATAGAGATTAATGAGATTATGTTTGAGAAAATTTCGGCATTAAAGAAGTAAATAATTATAGCAATATCTTCTCCAAACCATGTGTTTTTGATTTCATATTTATGGCTTATCTCCATGCCCAAGTCCATTTCATTACGTGGGGGATTATGGTTTCTTGGCGTATTGCTAAAGAGTGGTTCCTAACTGAATAACTGTCTGCCACTTTCTTTTTCTTTACGTTTCCATTAAAGAAATATTATCCACTGTACATGATATAAAAAATTGAAATTTATATCTCTTTTGTTCTTTTCATAAACACTGCATATACAAGAGAGATTATGATTAATTCAGTCTGTCATTTTAAATATCTGTTTTGCTTCCTGGTGATGCGGAAGCTGTCTTCAACTTTACTGGTATCCGAATTCACAAACTGCAAAAAATCAAACATTAATAAGAATAACATACACATTAACATTGTTTATTATATTGTGCTATATTGAAAATAATTGTGAATTGAGTAGACTGTGTGCACCAGCCGACTGACCTCTAATTTCATTTCTTCCTTCGTTGCATGTCCTCTTAAGTACCCAAATTTGGAAATTCTTGACAGACTCCAGCTATCAGCCTGTTAATGGATAACAGAATGACAAAATCCATAAAGAAAAATAGCAAAATAAATATGTATATGGAAAAGTCTTTAATGGGTCAGATGCATATGTACTATCCAATGAATGAATTGAGTGTTAGAGTTGTGGACCATTTCAGCATTAATGGGTCACGCAGGTGCATTTAAAGGTCCTGTTAAATATGAATACTTGTAATATTAGATTTTAGTCTTTTAAACTTAGTATATAAATATATTTTTTTCTTGTAATAAGTGATAGTAAATAATAGAGCAAATTCATTCATTATAAACGAAAGAGGTGAGGCAGTATTGCAATAATATTGACTTAGTTGGATGTAACCTGTTAATTGGGTCAATCAGGGTAAATCGCATGTATTTCTTCTTTCTCTTTACTGTTTGTGATTTGTGTGTTTACTGTTATCTTGGTTTCGTATTAGTCTCTATTTCGTTCATAGGTTAGGTCTCGTTTTATCTAGGAATTTCTACTATGAATAGATATATGATATATTTAACACTTACAGTGTCAGGGAACTTGTCCAAGCTGAACCCAGCCATGCCAATAACAGCTTGAACTGGTGCACTGTAGTTGCTGTGATCGTATGTGTCTATCCCCTCATCTTTTGTAGGCATTGCCAGGCATTTACTTTGATAAACTGAGCAGGTTCTCTCATAGTTATGAACATGGCCAAACAGAACCAAATCGACCTAGTTCATATTCACATTTCCCTCATTAATTAATGCTAGTCATGGAATTTTTTAAGAGCAAGAAAACAGAGCCTTATTTGATCTCAGTATTCAAGCCACAGAGGCTCACCTTGTTATCCAGCAGTAATGGCTCCACAGCATCAAGAAAGTTCTTATCAACGCCAGATCCTGTAGAACTATACATTGGCCTGTGCCTGCATTTCACAAATTTGTACTTAACTGTATTCAGTAACACCTAAAGCAAATTGGCTGGTCTTTAAGCATTACTGGCATAAAGCTGTTAATGAAACTAATTGTTAAGTAGACCTCAGTTAACTTACCCAGTAAAAATTAACCAGGGGGTTTTCGATCGATCAACCGAAGCCATATCTTTTTTCATCCAATCATACTGGTTAAACCATTGTGAAATCAGCAAGGTTCTAGATTATAGAAAAACCTTCCATTGTAAATCAGAATAACAAATTAGATTACCTGTTCAGAATTTTGTGACCAATCATGCTCAGTAGATATTACTGTGAAGTGAACACTTGCTTGTTCTATGGAATACCATGGCTTGTCCTTGGCTGCGGTTGGCATCTGAAAATAAGTTTCATAAGGAATTCCACATTCTCCACCGGAGTCTGGAGTAACATACACTGACCCTGTCCCCGTGTAATCCCTGAACAAGAGAATCAAAATCATGCATAAAAACCTTTTTTGTTCATTTGTTGATACTGTGTAGCGAGAACAAGAAAATTACCTTTCATGGTTTCCAATTGCAGTCATGTAAGAAACCCGAGCAGCCAAGGGGCTTATAAGGTTGAGGAAGAAATCCCATTCAACTAAGAAGCCTGTTGCATAGCTTATATCACCAATGTGGAAGATGGAATCTACATTGCCATCCTCTACTTCACTGGCCATGGCTTTGATCACCGACAGTGATCCTGGCTATACTTGTCATAGAATTCAAATTACTGGGTTACCTCAAATAATCACTGAGTTTGAATTTAGTATAATCGAATTTATGGTACCTGAATGTAGTGTTCTACAGAAGCATCACGAGGAGCCTTTCCCATGTCACCAAATGCAAGAAATTTGAGTTCATCAGATCCTCCGGCAGGGGGAGTCTGGAATTGGATTCTATCACTCCAACCAACTGAATCACTGAATTAAATTGAAAACTTTGAGTAAAAAGCTTTCTAATCAACACGGGTGCATTTCTTGCAAACTCAGAGCAAGCCAACAGATTTACTAGTCAGAGAAAAGAAACTAACTATGATCAAATGTCGCAAGTTCTGCTACTTATTGTCAGGCTACTATACATTGTATGATTCACTATTTTAATTATCTAATTCTTCCATAGTTGAAATTGGGTCTCTTGGGTCCGAATTCATCTTTTGAGAAATGGAAGCATTTGGGCCATTAACATTCCCCAAAATTGTACATGGTCTTGGAGACACATCCTCAAAAATAGGGAAATGGCTAGAAAGAATATTAAGTATGTCATTGGCAATGGTAACACTACTTCTCTTTGGTTTGATAAATGGCACCTAAAGGGCTCCCTTGTTTGCACCTAAGGGGATAGGATTATTTATGATACAGGGATTACTAAGGATGCTAAGGTGAGTGTTGTGATTGATATGTGTAATTGGAAGTGGCCAATTAGAGGAAGAAAAGCAAATTCTTGGACGCTTATTGACATGAGAAACTCTGCGAATTTCACACCTTCTAGTGTTGAGGACAAGCTTTGTTGGCAACCTTTACCTTTGGGGGATTTCTCTAGCAAATCGGCTTGGGAGGAGATTAGAGGAAGAAGAGAAAAAGTTGATTGGTGAAACTTGGTGTGGTTCTCAAAGGCTATTCCAAGGTACTCTATGATATCATGGATGGCTATTAAGGAGAGATTACCTACAAAGGACAAGTTGATGAGGTATAGTGCTATTACTAATGCTCATTGTTGTTTTTGTAACTCGGATATGGAATCTCTTGACCACCTTTTTTTTGCATGCCCCTTTTCTAAATCTATTTGGAGTAAAATCCTTATGCTTGCTGACCTCGACTATGTGATTAGACCTTTGCATGATTACATCCCCCATTTGGCTAGGAAATGGAAAGGTAAGAGTCTAAAAGTCACCTTGGGTAGGCTTTGTCTAAGGGCTACGGTGTATTGGGTTTGGAGGGAGCGAAATTGTAGGATCTTTGGGGGAGAGTGCAAGGATTCTGGCACTATTATCGATACTATCAAAAGTGTGGTGAGAGACAAAGTCATGGAACTTAGCAATAATCTTCCTATAAAAATAGAAAGCTGGCTGATACATGGGGACTTCCTAGAACCATCTTCAAAAACACCCATTCCACTCCCACTGTTATTGGAGACCATGTGATCGGGTGAGATGTTGTTCTTTCGATGAGAGACTTACTAAGTTGCTCGTTGTTTTGTGAAGTTTTTTCTGCGGTGCATCCTCACTCTCTTTGTTTCTCTGCTTTGAGTCTTCTTTGTGTTTCATTGTATGTGTTTTGGAGCCAAACCCAGGGGATTGTCCTGAGGATGGTGTCTTGTTGTTGATTTCTTAGCTAGATTCTTTCTCTTGGGTCTTATCTCCCATGTTGGTTTAGATAGGCTCCCAAGAGAATTATGTAGTGTCAAGCTTAGGCTTTTATTTATTTTTGCACCCTACATGAGGGATGTCCCGATGTAGGTTGGCCACCTTTTTTGTAGGCCTTTGTAAATCCTTTTTCTTTTAATACAATTTACTTAGCAAAAAAAAAAAAATTGGAAGATTCATAGAGATGAAACATGAAATGCCATACCTTCCATAACTATAGGAAAAGGTTTTTGAAGGCTCAAGTCCTGTCATGACTGCTGTATGAATGTAACCAGGGTCATGCCACCCAAAGTCCTTGGCTGGGCTTACTAAAGTTGAACCTATCCAATTCACAGTCACACGATAGTAATAACTAGTAAGGTATGGAGCACCACAGAAAAAAGAAAAAGACTTCAGGTAAATCAATGAACCAAGCTCAACCCGAACAGATATTTTGAGACTCTATCTTTGATATTTATTTGTGGAAAGGATTGAAATTTAAATGGAACTCACTGCACATATCATCTTGTGAAAAGGTAGAAACTTGTGATGTCTCTGATTTTCCATCTCCATATTGAACTTTCTGAGGTTCCTTATCTCCACTTACCCAAGTTAATCTCATCTGCTCCAATATATATAAAATTTTCAGCATGAACTCAGGAAACTTGTAGAGATTCTTGGGTAATGAACCAAATTAATAAGTTAAACTTTTGGTTACCGACGTTCCAGTAGAGTCTGTGCTTGAGATATGTCCATATAAAGGCTTATTTGCATTCGCAAAATTGATAGGTTTCGATCGACTCAAAATGCAAGGTGTCTCAAATCCAGCAGCAAAGAACACGAATTCAATGTCAGTTCTGATGTTAATGACATGAAAAGTTATTGAACCACTACATGTAGTCACCACACATTCGCCATTGTTATATTTCTTGCATTCCTGCTTCTTGCAACTCAGATAATCTGGATCCTTGCTCATAAACTGTGCCTGCAATTTTAAAAGCTCTCATTTAAGACAGTCTTTTTAGTTCTTCACCAACTGA